CCCCCCCCCCCCCCCCCTAATATCACCTTTCCGATGATATCACCTTTGTGTTCTTCAGCCTCTGTACCTACAGACACATCCGCATCACCCTGACAGGAATTTTTAATGTAAGGAAGATACAACCAAATTGACTGATTGATCACTGGAAATAAGGTAACTGTTGTAGAAAAATTTTAGTTCGAGAGAGAGAGAGAGAGGCTAGAAGGGTCGACTATGTTGATTATCCGCGCATGGTGAACCGAGTGTAAAGCGGTTTCTTCCCCACCTCTCACTCACGCGCGCGCGCAACAGAGGGGGACACACACACACACACACACACAAACATTCTTTTTCTATAAAGTTTCTTCTGGAAATAAAAAAAAAGAACGAATGTTGATCCAATTCCACTTCAATCTGAGTAAAAAAATTACACTGGTCTATTCCATGAGTGAGAGAGAGTGAGAGGAGAAAAGAACAGAGAGAGAGAGAGATAGGAGATGGGAGGAATGACGTCATCAATGGCGGCTAAGTTCGCTTTCTTCCCACCGAACCCACCATCATACAAGCTGGTCACCGACGAGCTCACCGGTCTCCTGCTTCTCAGTTCGTTTCCTCACCGCGAAAACGTGGAAGTACTGAAATTGCCCACTCGAAAGGGGACGGACATAGTGGCAGTGTACATTCGACACCCCATGGCCACTTCTACGCTTCTCTACTCTCACGGTAACGCCGCCGATCTGGGTCAGATGTACGAGCTCTTCATCGAATTGAGCATTCACTTGCGAGTTAATCTCATGGGGTACACACGAATTCTGTCTCTCCTCTTTCTCTCTCTCCCTCTGACCTCCGTGTATCTATGTATGGTGTATGTGTGTTCTCTTATTGGTATGGAATAATTGTTTAGCTTGGTTATTCTTAGTTCTTCTAAATCGTTGATTTTGGCATCTGGGTATTCCTTAATTTAGAAATTTGTAAGCATTTGCTTCTGGGTTTTGATAATCGCTGCATCGCATAGTAACATGAAGGATTTGTCACCAAGTATGGATTTGCGTAATGGGAAATACCAAGAAAAGGGATCCACAATTAAAAAGCTGGAGAGAATGCCTTATAACTCGATTCGTTGTCCATCCAGTTTGCCTTTGCCCTCTGCTGTAGTGCAGAACAACTTATATGTACAGATTCATCATCGTGTATGTGTAATTGCAATGTAGTTTAGATCGTATGTCAATGATAGGTCCTGGTAAATATCTGATGGCCAGCACTATATGCTCTATTTTGCTTGTAAAGTTGATAGTTTTTTTTGGGACTTGTATTTTGATTATGTCTTTAGAAGGGAAAATCATTCGTATTGTCATCTGCTAATGTAGTCTCAAGGATCAGAATCGATAGCAACGGGCAGATTTCTGATTCAAATGAACTTCTGTGCAGGTATGACTATTCTGGGTATGGTCAGTCCTCTGGGAAGGTTTGTATATTTCTCAATATATTATTGACGATAGCACCATTGTATTGGTGGGTGTGACTGAGATAGTGATCTAACGGCTGATAAAATACTGTTTTTTGCAGCCAAGTGAACAGAATACATATGCAGATATTGAAGCTGCCTATAAGTGTCTTGAGGAGAGTTACGGTACCAAGCAAGAAGATATCATCCTCTATGGGCAATCCGTTGGAAGTGGCCCAACTTTGGATCTTGCAGCCCGGCTGCCTCAGTTAAGAGCTGTCATCCTGCATAGTCCTATACTCTCGGGCTTAAGAGTCATGTATCCTGTGAAGCGCACATACTGGTTTGACATTTACAGGGTAACATTCATCTTCTTTACACATTTCCTCAATCTTTATTTTTGTGCTCAATTGAGACTCATCTATTTATTTGTCTAAACATAATTTTGTGTCTTTTGTTGCAGAACATTGACAAAATCCCCTTGGTTAACTGTCCTGTACTCATCGTTCATGTAAGTATGTTGTTCTTTACATTTGTGCACTTCAAAATTATATGCAGTAGTCAAGAAATGATACCTGTACTGATTTCAACGTGTGAGTGATGATAATTCCAACTACTTTTCTGTTTTGTTTCTGGATATAATTTGACAGGAATGAATATGCATGTGTTTTTGTTTGACTTCAAATTGTTAGGTTGATGGGAATTGAAGTTTCTACTTAAATGTTCTCTGTTCCAATGCCTACAGCATCTCCTCTATGCCTGATCTTGTTCCATGAAAGAAAACATGATTACTGGTTTGAGAAGGTGAACTCTGGGCAATTACAAATGTGATTGGTGTTCTCTTGCAATGTTCCCTATACTAAACTTTTGGCCATGTCATACCTTATCGTCAATTCTCCACCCTTGTCCTCATATTTGTGAACTCAACCCTATCTGGCACTTGATGCACCAGTTTTTGTGGACTTGGGGCTTCTAATCTCACAAAAGACTAGTTCTTGGAAGTTCTACAAAGGAAATAACATCTCTGACCTGAGAAAGGAATGAAGATTTGCTAGTTTTCTGGGTAGCGAGTCTTGCCAAATTTCTGGACAAGATCACATGAATAGAACACTAATGATATGCTTCCCAAATTTTCAGCCCAATTTTTACTTCCCAACTGATGTAGTTAAATCTTAACCATTCTGTATTCTTTTGTCCCCCTCATTTGTTGGTGGTGATGGTGCCAGCTCATTTAGGTAGTTAAATTTGGGCAAAAACAATGGGTAGCATAGTAATACTGTAAGGAGCATACATAGCCAACAACAACCCCCTCCCCCCAAAAAAAAAATATATATATATATATAATAAAATTAACACCTATAAGCAATCAGTGGAACAACTTATTTGTGTGGAAGAAGTGCTGGTAAGAAGAGGGTGCGGGCACCTATGTGGCCCCTGTTGATGTCCTTGTTAGGGAATTTTGTTTTTACTCAATTTAAGATCAACCCAAGATGACATCTTTGGACTTTGGGTTTCTGCCATTATGTAATGGCCCCAGCTCATTTTTTCCAGATGTTGCCAAAGTTGAATTTTTTATAGATCTTAGCTAGTATTTGGGTCAGATTAGACTGGCTAATCACAGGAATTATGGAGGAGGGTGTATATTGATGCTGTTGGATGATAGACTTGTATACCTTTATATGAAGATACATAGGCTGGTGATTTGCATCTCTTTCATCCTAACGTTATGAGACCCTAATGCTGATAAAGCCTTTCTCAATATGTTTGATGATATATATTTGGTCTAAAATTGTTTGACAAAGGAGCAATAAAGAGTCCATGTTCCATTAGAAGTAAAATTATAGAAACTAACAATTATTTCTTCTGATCTCATTACGGGTTTGTGGAAGGACCCATAACGTTATTTTTATTAGGCTAATTTTTGGGACTTTTAATCATTGTGCAGGGGACTGCAGACGAAGTTGTTGATTATTCGCACGGTAAGCAACTTTGGGAACTGTGTAAAGAAAAATATGAACCCTTATGGATTATAGGAGGGAACCACTGTAATTTAGAGCTCTATCCAGAGTATATCAAGCATCTGAAGAAGTTCATATCAACAGTAGAGAAATCTCCTTCACATAGGTACAGTTCTAGGAGAAGTTTGGAGCATTTTGAGCAGTCTAGGAAGAGTACCGATGTTTTTGAAGCTTCAAGGAAGAGCACTGACCGGAGAGAAAAACCAAGGCACAGCACTGACAGGCCTGAAAAATTGAAAAACCAGTCCAACAATGCCGATAGGCTAGAAAAATTGAGGGTCTCTTTCGACCAAATTGAAAGGTCTCGGAGAAGTGTGGATTGCAATGAAAAATCCTGGAAGAGCATTGACCACCAACTAGAAAGAGCTCGCAAGAGTGTTGACCAGTTGGATAGAATACGAACAGGATAGTTTTTCATGATACAGTTGTAAATTTTGCGCCTGGGTTTGATGTTGAAGGGCCAATTTATGTGAGCCTCCTTTTATTTATGGTGTTTTGCCTTTTCATCCTGCTTGGGAAGTTTTCTGAACACTATTGCGAACTGATGAAGGGTGTGGTGGTATAATGGAATTCTTTCTGCTACATTCTCTCTCTCTCTCTCGTGGGCCTCTGTATTCGCAGGTTTAGTTTGTTTGGAAGTTGAGTTAAGACAGTCAGGGCAAGGTTTCTGTCTTGCTTTCTTGCGAGTCCACCCACTTTTGGAAGTACCATTTGCAGCAANGGCCTCTGTATTCGCAGGTTTAGTTTGTTTGGAAGTTGAGTTAAGACAGTCAGGGCAATGTTTCTGTCTTGCTTTCTTGCGAGTCCACCCACTTTTGGAAGTACCATTTGCAGCAATTAATAGAGAAACTAAAGAACAAAAATAACAAGATCATAGGAACTCATGTTATATATTGATTTCAGTTGTGTCGAACAGAAGAATGAGCTTTGAAGCTTCCTTAAATGCTGCATTTCATACCTATAGGCTGCGTTTGTGTCATATTGCTAACTGGTATTAGCCATTCACAGGACAAAGTTTCACCTAGTTTTATGGTTCACAGTTTTTCTTTGGCAATGAGGTTTCATAGAACTGCTGATGAAGAAAGCTGATCAAATTGCTTCAAATTTATGATATGCTATGCTACTTTATCCATGACGAATCAGTAAAATTGAGCAGAGCCTTCCAACAGGGAGAATTTGGGTGTGTGCTCACTGTATTCAACGATGGCAGATGGTGGAAGATGACCGATGCAGATCTCATGCACTGTTGTGAAAAGAGGGAACAACTCTAACCATCCCCGGTGGTTTAAAACCTCATAAACCTCTTTGGCTGTCGAAACACCCTTCAAAATTTCAAATAAGGTCAGATAAAAAAGGACAGCAGGCCTGGTATGATTCTTGTATTCTAAGTCTATGTTGTACAATCTATATATAATATGCTTGCCCATGGTCCATGCTCAGATATGAAAATGGGAATGCAAATGACTGCAGGAAGGGTGTTTTTCTCCCTTCCAATTTGAGTAGTTCAAGGATGCAAATACAGTTGATGTTTTGAAGTTAGTGCTTTTAAGACTCATCACCCAAAAGATTTCTATTACAAAAATTACTTTAGCATCTATTTGTAAACTACTTAAGCATCTATCTGTGACTTATTAGGCGAAAATAGAAACAAGTTTAGGATCCACCTGTAGTTTCTGTCCTTGAAGCAACTCTGCTTCTAGCTCGTCAAAAGACCTACGGATTGACAATTGGCAATGTCAAACAAAACTAGAATTTGATTTTTACCTTTGTTTTGTCTACTCTACAGATCTACTAGATAGAAACCTTTTCCCGCCATTCCTGGCAAAAGCATCTGCACATTTCCTGTTTCTTCCTCCTACTGCAACATTTAAAAGACAATCATGTCGCAAATATGTGCTATGTCTAGTGTGAATGAAAAATTATACAAGCAGGGGAGCAAAGTGCTTCAAATGCCTCCTTACAGCAAGTTGTTATCAGATCAGCTACACCACAGCTCTCAAAAAAGGTGTTGTCCTTAACAGAAGAAAACAGCAGCTTCGAGAAGGCTTTCATTTCTCTCAAACCGATTCTCATTATTGCAGCCTAGTAAATCATCATGAAACCAGCCAAGACTTTATGCTCTCTAGCAAATATTAATGTGTTGCATAAAGCAGCAACAAAAACTAAGCTTTTGAGATCTTTTGCCTTTACCTTCGTGTTATTTCCCATCTCCAAACCATCCACAAAACCTGTACTATCAGTACCAAATTCTCCATTACTCAAAAAAAGAAGTTGAAAATGTTTCAAGAAATAAAACGGCAGGAACAGCATGAGTAAATCACAACCTGCTGCTATCGCCACAACATTCTTCAGGGTACCACATAGTTCTACTCCTTCAACATCTTGAACCTGTTTTACATTTATTGTTTTTGTTTGTAATGATTCAGTACAGTAATGCATCTATTGACATAATCTCTCAAACATGGTATTGGTGCATGTTATGAAACAATTAGATTACCTTGTTTCCGTTACATCATACATGTCAGTGAATGGAATTGATGGAAGATCTATACAAATTATTTTCAAATTACTGCTCTTTATGTACTTGGGTGTCTATTATTAGATAAGGTATATTGCACTTACAGCTGTGACCATGAAGTAAGGAGTGCTAAATAGCCGAACCCATTTCTCTGCAATCTCTTTGTTCTGTCTGTATCCAACAGTTGCTTCACTAAACTTCTCCACCGCAATCTGAACATGTGGTTCCAACTTATTAGAGTAATGCTCCAGTGCAATAATTAGAAATTAAAAATAAATTAACCACCTCATTAGCGATATTTGCCCCCATTAGAACACAACAGTTAATCCCAAGCTGTTCTGTTATGAGGGTAGAGATCATGCATGGACCTTCCATCTTGACCTCCATTCCTTTAATGAGGGAAATTGCTTCCGCATCTTCCCTTATCTTTCCTACTATCTTTCTGCATATACCCTCCATGAATTGATGTGGGGTTACAAATACTAACATGTTTGCATCCCTCACTACATAACACCCCAACTAGAATTAGTCACAGAGGAATCACATATGCACCAGATCACAATCTTGTTCGATCAACTAATTGATCATTAGTCGATTAAATAAATATTAAGTTGGCATATTAGGGTATGTAATACCTGCATGGTCAAGGTCCGGGTCTGCAACAACATTTTTACCAAGCTTTATGCCCGGAAGATATTTGACATTTTCCTATTAAAGAATCCACAAGGATTAGCAAAGTAATTACAGATTAATGCTGTTGACATAGAGGAAAAGAAAGAATGGTCATTACATTCGTTCTGTTGATGACTTCCGAGAGTTTCTCACCACTTGGCAATGTCTCTTCGAATACCCACATTCTCACTTCATCTAAATTTCATCATAATAGGATCCAAATTGAAAATGGGTTTCATTTAGCAAGTGTTTCATCAATTGGAACATAAAAGTAATGTATAAATTCCACACAGAAGTACATACAATATATGAATGGACAAGAGTATACATGTTAAATGTATAAAGATGAGATGACAAACCGTGGAAAGAGGGAAACTTAAGGGTGTTGGAGGCAATGAGCTTGGCAGCCACACTTCCCCAATTGCCACTGCCAACAACTGTGACTCTAGATTTGTTAGGCACCTCATTTTCCAATGATGGAGCCATGGAGAGAGAGAGAGAGAAGAAATGGTGGGGAAGGAATGAATGGGAGCGAGGACAAGGAGGAAGGAAGGAGAAGAGGGCATTGATATATTGGAAGTTAGAGGTTCATTAGGGCGGAGAAGCCACAAACGTATCGTCAGAAACAATGGGTGTCATGTTAAATTTGGCGATCTACTCTATAAATGTTACAAAAGTACAAAAAAATCTGGTCATATTCTCTCTCTCTCTCTCTCTCTCTCTCTCTGCCGTTGGAAAAAAGGGACAGTCTATACCGCTAAAAATATGTAATTATTAATTTTTTGTTATTAAATATTATTTAAATGTGTGACTGTAAATNTAGAGAAAAAGTTGTACCGAACCGCTAAAAATATGTAATTATTAATTTTTTGTTATTAAATATTATTTAAATGTGTGACTGTAAATTTTTTTTTATTAAATATTACTTACCAAAAANTGACTGTAAATTTTTTTTTATTAAATATTACTTACCAAAAATGATAACTTTACTTATAAATGTAATAACATTATCTTAAATGATCGTAAATTCACCTCAAAAGATTATAAGCTCACCTCACGTCTAGGGGTGATATTTTTATTTTTAGTACTTGTAATCTAGCCTTAAATAATTATAACTTTATATTCAAATGTAATAATTTTATTATAAATAGTTATAATCTCACGTCAAAAAGTTATAATTCAACATTTAAAGGTGGTAATTTTACCTATATAGAATGTAACTTACCCTCAAATGATTATAACCCCACTTTCAAAAATAATAATTTTACTTTCAATTGTTGTAACCTTATATAAAAATTTTATATCTCACCTTTAAATGTGATAACTTTATCTCAAGAGTAATAACTTTGTCTTTACAAGTAGTAACATTATATTTAATAGTTATGATCAATTATATTTAATTGGAACCACTAGAAATTTAGTTTGGTATAATTTTTGAACCATCAACTATATTATGATCAATTTCATATAATCATGATCGATCATAATTNTCATGATGGATCCTATTTAATTGGAACCCCAGAAATTTAGTTTCATATAATTTTTGGACCATCAAATGCATTAAGATTGTGATAAAAAAAAAAGGCATTAAGATCGATCTCATATAGTCATGATCGATCCTAATTGAGTGAAATCGAAAAAAAAAATAATTTGGATCCATCAGAGGCATTAGGATTGATTCTAAATAATTATGATCGATCATGATTATTGAAATGAAGTTACACCTTATAAAGACAAAGTTATTACTCTTAAGATAAAGTTATCACATTTAAAGGTGAGGTACAAACTCTTTAGGTAAGAGGTTATAACAATTTAAAGTAAAATTACTATATTTGAAATTGAGATTATAATCATTTGAGGGTAAATTACATTCTATATAGGTAAAATTATCATCTTTAAATGTTGGATTACAACTTTTTGATGTGAGGTTATAACTATTTATGGTAAAATTACTACATTTGGATAACTATTTAAGGTTAGGTTACAAAGCACTAAAGGTAAAAGTATCACCTTTATATGTGAGATAAGCTTACAATCTCTTGAGATGAGTTTACAACCCTTCAAGGAAATGTTATTACATTTAGAGACAAAATTATCACCATTACAGATAAAATTACAATCTTTAGAAAAAAAAAANAACTATTTATGGTAAAATTATTACCTTTGGATATGAAGTTATAACTATTTAAGGTTACGTTACAAGTATTAAAGGTAAAAATACTACCTCTAGATGTGAGATAAGTTTACAATTTTTTGAGGTGAGTTTACAACCCTTTAAGGTAATGTTATTACATTCATAGACAAAGTTATCATCTTTAATGAGTAATATTTAATAATAAAAAATTCACAATCACACATTTGAGTAATATTTAATGACAAAAAATTGACAACCACACAATTTTGAAGGTGCGGTACCACTTTCTCATTAGGCGGTACGATAGACTCTTCCTAGAAAAAAATATTGGCCGAACCATTATATCACATCATCAGTATTATGTGGTGTAACTATTCAATAATTTATAATATAAAATAAGGTAGACTTTAATATATTCATTCAACAGTTTTAAATAAATTCATTTAACGGTCACTAACATTTATTTCAAAATCATTCACATTGTGTCATACGTTCAAACATGGGTTACTTCTAGTAAATAAATAAGTTTATAAGTTAGTCTTATTAAAATTCATAATCACTTAGTCATATAATACATAATCATATCTANGGGTTACTTCTAGTAAATAAATAAGTTTATAAGTTAGTCTTATTAAAATTCATAATCACTTAGTCATATAATACATAATCATATCTATGATATAAAGTGGACCCTATTTTATTCATTTTATAATTTTTTATTAAATAATTATATCATGTTAACAATGTTGAAATGATTTTACAGTTACGCCCAATATTTACATGGTTGGTCCCTTCCTCCTTCGGTTGTTCACTACATTTTTTTGGCTAATATCTTTTCTCTTGGTCAATTACAAACTAGTTCCCTTTTATTCATGGTTTTTGCCATATGGATAAATTTTGGGTCAACAAATATAAGTAGTAATTTTTTAAGTTCAAAAGGACAGCATAATATTAAAAGATCCCATATATTCAATGCCTAGATAATATCAGAGATCTCAACTTAGCTTTGCCCAAAAATTTAATGGGCGGTTGAGAATCTTTTTGTTATAATAATATAGGTATTGTTGATCAAAACGACATCATTTTGAGTGTAAAAGTTGACCACAATAATGCAATTCTATTTAACAAAATGGAATCATTTTAAACAAAATGACGCCGTTTTAATTAACAGTAGAGAGGTCAAACTTAGGTAACACATTTTCCATCAAGTTGCTCTCAAATCTCGATGACACTTATGCAAGGTTGCCCATCATATCTATCTTTAGGACTTATTTTTCCTAGATTTTTAATATTTTTTCAAATATAGCATATTTTTAGAATAATTAATTAGATCTTTACGATGAATTAGTGAAAAGTTCTGAATTTCTTTTGAACACTGCATATTTTAATTTTATTTAAAAGAAATTTTGAACATTGAATTTCAATAGAAAAAAATTTATGTCAAACAAGTAGGGAGGAGGTTCTTTTGTCCATTTTTTCTTCCACACCTACCAAATCAAATATTTATACTTTCTGATCTGTGAGAAAACTCTTTCTTATCCCTCAACTGTGCACAGAAGTCGTGGCTCCTGTGTCCTGACATTCTATTCCAGACTCGTGTCCTCGGCACCAGAGACACCTCCACCATTCTAGTAAAGACATGTGTCATCGGCACCGAGAATACTTCGACCAGTCTTGCGNCCCCGGCACCAAAGACACCTCCACCATTCTAGTCAAGACATGTGTCATCGGCACCGAGAATACTTCGACCAGTCTTGTGAAGACATCCTCGGCACCGAGGACACTTCCAGCATTTTGAGGAGGACACGTGTCCTCAAAATTGACATTCTCTGTATATCTGCATCTAACACGTGTTTTCGGCGTATAGCTCTTAGAGCCCTGACACGTGTCCTCGGCATGATTAGATCCCGATAGGAGTGTCCTTGGGTCGGGTTACCCACAGGTCCCGTTACCTGGTCCAAAAAAAATAGGCCTGAAGCCCGATAGGCCTTATAATTGGTTCGTCCAATTTCGAGCCCAATATCTTTAAAAAGAGGACTTGGGTTTGCCCACACAAACCCGTTACCCAGCCCACCATTCTTTTGAAAAAAAAAGTTATATTTTTAGACTATTAAATTTAAAATTTTGAAATAATTCTTCCAATATCGAAATTTGAAGTTTTAAAAATTTAGATATTATAAAGAATGTATTACTTTCTTTTCCATGTATTAAACATATAAGTTTTAAATGGTAGAGTAATGCAAATGACAGATAAAATAGTAGGTATTAACCTAGTTGAGATTTATTCATTTTATTGGATGTAGTTAGGGGTGTTCAAATTTTCGATTGGTCGCAATTTCCTACCTTACTTGACCCTACCCTACCCTACTGAACAGCTAGCAACAAAAATCGAGTAAGAATGCGAAATACCCATCAATTTTCGCATTTCTACTCTACCATACCCACAAAAAATATATTTAATTTTTTTTAGTAATTATAAGAGTATTTGTGTGGTATAATTTATATTATAACATTATTATTGTTGTGGATGTTTGAGTTGAGAAAATATGGACTTGTTTTTTGTGTAAGTTACAAGATTTGTGGTGAACTAGTGTACTATTGGAGCAATTATGATTTTAATGTGTTTCATATTGTTTAAACTTAAAATAATTGTTTGTATTTGTGTAACAATTATAATGGATTGATGTTCATATTTTTTTATGTTTTATTATAATTTTTGTTGTAGTTGTTTTATATTTTAGTGTTATTGATTTATTGTGTTGTTAAATTGATGCATGTTATTTAATTAAATTGTTAAAATGATCCAAAAATTAATAGTTACAAAATTGTTTACTCGATTTTCTACCCGATTATTAGGGTAGGAAGTCGGGTAGGAATACCACTCCTGATCGGGTAGAGTAGGCCAAGAAAAAATTCTTTCGCAAAATATCATGTAGAAAGATGAAAGACAATATCTCCTACCTGTAAGGTAGGGTGAACAACCCTAGATGTAGTTCATTATTTTATTTTTATCTATTTTGACTTTACTTTTGATTCAAAAATATAATTTATACAAATATTATGTTACAAAAATATTCATTATTTTAAAATAAAAATGTATATAAAAAATCTGTAAGTAGGCCTATCCAGCAAGTCCGCCCACAGACCCGCCTAATAGGCTTACAGGTTGGACTACAGGTAGCTTACCTCTACCCAAAGCCCGGCCTACCCGATAACTCACTTGGATAAGAGCTTGAGCTTACACTACTCAGGCCTAGTCCGAAAAAAATTTTGCAGGCCTAGCCTGGCCCGGGCCATGGATACCCCTAGATCTCGATAACTGTTTTTGGACACATCACCTCAACTCCAAGACGGATAATTGACAGTTACAGCCTGTTGAAGTCAGAGTTAGACAATGAATCAATATCATACTTTCCTGTAGAAGTCAGAATGGCAGGAAGGACATGACTAACAACCAAAGGGAATCGAGCATGTGGCATGCGTAGTATAGAATTGGAAGCCAATGGACAAGAATGCCCTGCTGGTGCGCAGCAATCACAAAAGAGCATTTAATGATCCTCCAGGAGGATGAGATGTGTTGATCATCCACAGAGCCTTGGTGGAAGAGCGTTAAGTGCTTAGGGGTTGAAGCATTTAATGTTGATTGACTTCCCACAAGATGCTCAAGGATTGGTCACCCCCACTTGTTGTTAGGTCTGTTAAAATTTGACACGATACGATTAACCGACATGAATTAAGCAGGTTTTAGTGAGATCTTAACGGGTTTGGGTAGTAAACGGGTTGAACTGTTAAACACGTTTAATAAACGGGTCGTATTCGAATGAGATCTGTCAAACTGTTAATCACACGTTTACCCGTTTAAATAAAATTAATATAATAATAAATTAATAATTATTTTAAAAATTAGCCAGAAAAAAAAATAAAGAAATCAATACAAAAAAATAATAATAATAAATAAAGTAATAGTTCAAAGACAAAGGAGGGGAGATGAGAGTAGTTCATGACAAAGACAAACTAATTCTTTTATTTTTGTCTCACATCGGCAAATGAGGAGAGATGGAGAGGACTACCTTGCCTATAAAGACAATGGCCTCTTGCCTTTTTTTTAAACCTTCAAATTTGATTTTTATGTGAAATTAGGTTAGAAATTTCTCTTTTTTAAGGTAAATACAATTGACAGTAAAAAAAATAGTATATTAAAATTTGTTTATATAATTTTTTTTAAAACGAGTCGTATCGTACTACCCGTTTATTAAACATGTCGTATTCGTGTTGAAATTTTTCACCCGTTTTGAGATTTTTCACTCATTTATTAAACGTATCGTATACAGGTTTACATGTTTTTCACCGGTCACTTGTTTAATCTTATATGTTTTTCACCTGCCACCAATTTAACCTGACACGTAATCGTTTAATCCCACACGTTTGACACCCGTGCCTATTGCCTCACAGAGGGACCACTAGGGATCTCTCTCTAAGGGGACCAACCTGACAGTTATGATGACCTCGATAAAAGGTATAAATAGCTACAAAAAAACTAAGGACAAGGTACGTAATCTGACTGCAGAACAAAAATTATTGTTTTTTCCTTTCTCATCTCTCATACACTGACTTGACCGTCGGAGGGAATGCACCAAAAAATATTTCGGCACCCTTCTAACCCTTCCTTTGAGTGCTAGGAAACATCTACGACACGTCGAGATCGATCGAACAGCTAGGAAAGTAATTCATCACCATTCCTTAAACCATCTTTGACATCCCTTCGTCACGAGACCATCGACTTTCGAGATAAATATAAATTCATCAAGAGAAAGAATTATTTTTTTATTAATTGTGCGAAAATTATCGCGTACACCTTCCAATAGAACATAGAAGCGATTGCAATTTTGGTTCCTTGGTCAAGCAATTTCAATTCATTGAAATTTTGACAGAATCAAAGCCATGCTAAGAGTTGAAAGACAAGATTGATTAACAAAATAAGCAAGAAAGGGAAGCTAGTGAAAAAACTTGGGGACTGAAACTCAACGGGTGGGGGACAAATGGGCTCCGACGGGTCTCACATGTCATCCTCCATCTCCCGAGAGCACCAGATCGAGAATGTTCTTACTATCCTTGGTCTCTCGAGAGTACTAATAAACCGAGGCTGTTCTTCCCGTGGCCTTGGCAATCAGAATACCGGGGACGCCATGTCCTTGGTTCAAACAGTAGTGGCGGTCTGACTACCATGGGATCCACTACCGTCATCCTAACCGATTGACAAGACTAGGGGCACGGAATGACCAACTATACTGTCACATCTGCATGGCGTTAGCCCTTGCTTACGTGGACTGGTCCTGCGGTATCTCGGGGTGCATCAATTAGTGCTCAGTGTGCGTCACTTTAATGTCCGGGCCTAACCATTAAATGTTTGCAAATTTCATTAAATTTTTAGACCCCTAAGCCCTGTAATCATTGCGACGATTAACCCCAAGTGACCGTCGACTCTCCTTAGGCCGGTAAATGCATAGCTCAAGATCGAGGTAGTTTCTGACATATTAATCTCACAAGTGTCGCATCTATTAATTAAATGTAACCCTCTAAATTTCACGGTAACATCTCTCAAGGTATAAAAAATTTAAAGAGTTGAGTCTTAAGTATACACGCATTCGTTAAACTCAAATTTTACTATAATATTCACATTTTCTCGACTAAACACCAACTAGCTTAAATATCAAAAGATACGCCGAATATATACCGGACCATTTTCTAACTTTGTCCCTTAGTTCAATAATATTAGACCCACTTCATCCAAGTACTGCTAGCTAAACGGTTGCACAGAAACAACTCCTCACATGCATTAATCCATCTTAGAGTGCACATGTCTGGATCACGTGGAGCCTGTTCACATTCCGCAAGCTATATCCGTTTGAAACATAGAAATTTTGGATAAAAAGAACTAAAATATAGTAGTAGGGGCAATTCCTATGCGGCCTAACTTTAATGTTAAAGCAAAGACTTTTAGACTTATCACAAACCACCCATTAAGATAATGTAAAGTAAGGCAAACGTAATACCTCGTGGTACTTTTAGAACATGGAAACTAAAGTTGGTCATGCATGCGAGTGTTCCTCTAGGAAAACTTCATTTCCGATCTTTGTCCTAATTCGCAACCCGGGAATTGAACACAAATCTCCATTCTTACAATGTTTGACGAAAAATTTAAACAAGGATAATACTTTTGGATTAATTAAAAATGTGTTCGAAGATTGTATAAATTAATCGAGATAGAATGAGTATCACCCCCACTGAATTTGCCCGAGCCGCACCATTTCCTAATGTTCCGTTTGGTAGGAAGGATGGAAAGTAGGAAAGATAAAAATTAGGAGGGATACACTTTTTATCCTTCAAAAGATAAAAAGTATGAAATATACATTTTCCTTCATTTGTGTTTGATTGGATGGATGGAAATATATATATATTTTTTTTTGTGCTGATTAAGATTAGGGGTGACAATCGAGTCATGTCGTGTCAGATTCGTATTAAGTCATTACGGGTTTGTGCTAAGTATTAGTCAAACCTAACTTAACTCATTTAACTAATTGTCGTATCGAGTTACAAATTGACCTGTTTATTTTCGTATCGAGTTCAAGTCGTGTCAGCGTGTTGAGTCGAAAATTTTTATCTTTAGTTAAGATGGAAAAATATATTTTTTTTAATTTTCAATTTTTTAAAAAAAAAATTTTAAAATTTTTTAATATATATATTCATTTTTTACTATTGTATTTTTATATAAAATTAATATATACATAATATATGTATATATAAAAAGATATATAGACAAATAAGATATATCTCAATACAAATAATTAACTTTCCATCCACTTTTCTTTCGATTTTAGAAGGATTGATTTTGGTGAGTTAGAAGGAAAGTTAATTTATCCACTTTTCCATCTTTCTTACTTCTTTCTTTACCAAATATGATATTTTATTTATCCTTCTAATTTTACATATTTTTAACTTTTTATCCTTCTATTTTTTTATCGTACCAAACGGAGTATCAGTCTTGCATTGTCAAGAGAGAAAAGCTACTAAATTCACCTTTCGGCACTCGTACGTTATCCAAGATAAGGCAGGTGGATTACCTTTGGATGTAATAAAAAAGTACGAAGATTTAGACATAGTTAAATTAGACCCTTATATATATATTACGTGCCTGTCATGTTCTAAGTCCATCATTGGTCCACAGAAAATTTGTGTAATGACAAGAGGGAAGAAAAGTATTGCATGACGATAGTTAAAGGACAGCTGACGCGTATGAAAATTCAAAAATTTCCCAAATACGATCAAGACGTATAATATATAGCATAATATATACATATTGTATCAAAAAAGAGTTGGATATGATTGAATGGGGAAATCTTTCTTTGTCAAGGAGAAGATGCGGGTTTGATTCCCGTTATCCGGCCAAAGGTGAAGTAATTTATTTAACATGAATTATGACTACATGAAAAATAAAAATCCACGTAAGTCTGAACACCATGCTTATAAAAAAAAAAAAAGAAAAGGTATGCACTTGAAAATTGACCGAACCATTTTGAACACTCGTGGCATCGCACATCCAAAGCTAGCTATTGGAATGACATTGAGTTTCACTTCGAAGGGTACTTCCATTCTTCTCTAAGGTTTTGAGTATGATTTATGAAAACAAACTGCTTCGAGAGCTTAGAGTAAGTCATTTGAATATTACAGTACGTGATAAATATACAACATAAACTACTACAAAGAACATAATGTATATATGTTGAAGAGAAAAGAGAAATGAATGACTTTAGGGTTTCATGTCATTGTGTACATGTCTTCGCCTGCGGGGCATCGAATAGTCCCCCGACCACCACCAACTCGCCGTCTGCCGGTCCACTTCTCTTCCCATTTCCTGACCCTGATTCTGCATTTCCATCACACCTGCAAATAAACAAACATTCTAATGATATCATAACTCATTTTATGGCAAAAGAATGGAAACCGTACGTGGTAGAAGAGCACTCCATAATCATATTCACCTGTGTAATGTTGTGGTCTAGCAGCAAGCTGGGTCGGCTGTTGAGCAAGCAAATAGAGACAAGCCATAATCCTAATGACACCCACTATCCCCATATTTTTAGCACACTTTCACACTCTCTCTTTCCATCAACACCACCACGGCCTATATATGACTAAAGCAAGCAAGGACCCACGTTCAAATATGAGAGTAATATAAATAGGTGGATTTAGCTAAATATAGATCGAATCCAATTCTTGGTAAGAGAATCTTAAACTCAAGATAGTTCAAGTAGTAATAAGAACAAGTTGTAAGTTTGAATTTTAAATATCCTAATTTTGACATAAATAACTTATTTTTGATCGAACTGAAAAAGAGATTAATCGAAATGCGCATAAACTAGCCTACACATCTTTGACTGTTAAAAAAAAAAAAAGAATCTTATAGGATTACAGGCTTGGCATGTTTTGGGGGGATTCTGTTTGTTTCTTTATGCGGCTCTAATTCTAAAGCATTGATTTTCAAATAAAGTTGAGGGTCCATGTGTTGTGTTGGAAAGAACTCTCGGGGTTAATCTCAGTCTGGCATAGCCACTTATTATTACTAAGCTACGTGTTGCTAAACCCAATACCTACACATGTTATGCATACTAAAAACATTAATCAAAAAGTATTTTACCAAATGAATTGACAATCCTGTATCCAATCAAAAATAGCATTCATGGATATAACAGTAATATAAAAATAACAACTTATTTGATAAAAATATTTTTTTGATAAATTTTTTGGTATGCATAGCTTTTTTCCCACCTAGTAATGGGTACCAGGTATCTGACTGGTTTGGCCCAACATTTTGACAGATCGGACATTGCCCTGATATACAATCTCTAAATCTAAATTTGTCAGACTGGTAAGACATGTCTACATTTCACTCGATAAAGATGCATAGCACGCTTAGTCGCTTACCCTTTTAACCTTTAAACTAGTGATTTAAAAAAGAGTAAATGCTATACAACCCAAATAGAACCCAAAAAAAATGTAACCCGAAATATAAACTGCAGTGATTTTGATTTTGTGCTTGCCAAAATGCTGACCTGCACTTTACTCAGCCTGTAGCCCACTCATAAATCATAACCAAAAATGCATGGTCCAACCAGAGGAAACCAAAAAAATTGTCAATCCAACAATACAACCAGTTTATTTTACTTCAAATAACCTAAAAGAAAAACAAAGAATTTGTTATTCAAATGTAGTCTCACTGAATAGCCATTGGCTTTGGTTTACAATCGAGACACTGCCTCAAGAATGGCAAGAACCTCTCTGTTCATGCATTTGTATGGCAATCATTGATACATGAAAAATATTTTTAAAAAAAATTGCACCATTTGGTTGAATCGTATCATAATAATCCCTGAAATAGATATGGTGTGGACATAGTCTTCCTTCTTGAAAAGCAATCAATGACAAATTAGTGGCCATTTTGGTGGGAAAATTGGAGTACCAGATGGTTTTGCTTTGACAGGCACACGGTGAATACCGTGTATCAAGGAGCTCTGTCAAAGGGTTTAGTATCATTGTAGCACACATCCCAGACAGCTTCCATGGCATCCTTCGCTGCCACTTCTGAGCAGTAAGGGTTAGCAATCACTGATTTCATAACTCTTCTTCTCACACAATCCTTCAAAAATAACAATAAACAGGCGCTAATTATTGGAAACAGTTAACACTCTGAAAACTAGCAGTTCATTCTATGGTCGTATGTGTGACATGCTATTACTTCTAGATTGCTCTCATTGATGGATAATGCAATGATGGTATTTTTGGGCAATCAGCATGCAATTTGTTGGTCATAACAGTGGTTGTGTTTAGGAGTGAGTGACCATAGCAGGGACAAACTAGCATATAGTTAAGGACATTCTAGGAAAGACAATTTGATTGATATGGGAAGGGATTGTTTATGGAGTTGTAAATTTGGCAGTAAAAACAGCAAAAAAATATCACAATAAAGCATTTTAAAGTCGGCAATTCTTTTGTCTTCAGGGCTTCTCTTTCTTATATGGGTTATCACTCTTTAGAACAGGTTTTCAAGTCTCACCGGCCATCCCCACACCACCATAAAAAGGGAAAAAAAAAAATAGGGGGTAGAAATTCCAGGACTACGGAGTGAGAGTAAGGACAAAGTTCGCAATGTCATCCAACATTATTTAGATTGCATAGTCTCTTTATGCCTCTTTTTCCCTCTCTACTTTTTCTTCAAATCCATTCATTCTGCACAATATGGTAAATGACAGGTCCAACTAGACCTTGTGGTAGTTTGTACGTTATCCCTCATCTATAGTAGTATTTACACACATAAAACCTTAAAAGGCACTGTCAAAACTTTAATATACACCTGACTATCCCCAATATAATATATTCATGTTGCATTTTTTCTGCCAAGGATGTGGGTTGGGGGAGATTCTACATATAATACCAGTCACAGATTACCTAAATACTGGCACTTAGAATCTTCCCCGCCTTTAAAAGGTTACTTGTTTTCTGGATATAATTTTATATAGACTTCCTAGATATTGCTTGACCAATGGAAATTCCTGTCCCTGTATATGATTGCAGTAAATTATACAGAAATATGTCTCCTAATAGAATGATATTTTTTAACAAGCAAAAATTTAAACAGCATTTATACTTTCAAAGTTTATAAGAATGAAAATCACCTGTTCATGACCTCGTATTTTCATAAAACCCCGCAGCAATTCTCGTTTATAGTGACAATCACCACTAAGATGGCCCGCTCGAATCTGTTTCATGCAGATATGAAAACTAGCAAAATTAAAGAAACTTTTGACAAACAAGATATAGGGGAAAACGGATAGTTGAGGAATTCAAACCTCACTACAAGCATGATGAGCACAGTTAGACCAATCCAAGTTCGCAGCACGACAGTCATCATATGCATGAATGAGCTCATGGATCACTACTTGGTTGACCTCATCTTGGATGTTCATGTGATTACTACACACGATTATCTAAAACATGCAAACACAAAAAAGAAAGCATACAGAGCGTCATGTCATCAGAGAATTGGGATCATGGCACCAGACTAGAATGCATGGAAAAAACACACACTGAGAAAGGGGTGGAGAAAGATTGTATACGTAATAGAACATAATGCATCAAATTGACTCTCAAAGATAGACACAAAGATTACCAAATCTAAAACATACAGATGGTTCCACAAGGTAATTCCTCAACTTCAGTATCAAGCTTCTAGATGTGAGTTATAAGCACACTCAAGCACCAACTTACAAGGTATAGGCAAAAATTAGTTCATTTTTATTGCTTAACATATGCAAAAAATATTGAAGTTAATGTTTTCCAAAGTTGTTTCATGAAGTGATCACAGGATATAATCTTCACAAAGATAAATTCAGTCATCTGCGAAATACCGACAAGTTGAATTAAGATAAACACACTCTCCCGAGGAGAGGCATCACAAGGTTTTCACTACAATAAACAACAAGGCCTAACTTTCAAAGGTGTAGAACACCAGAAGAACCTCATTAGCTCAACCCAATATTCTTGAAAGTTCAATTTGTAATTTTGTAAAAAAAAAATGCAAAATTTGATAAACAGTGGCCTATTTGACGACTAACCCATTAAAACGATTTGCACTGGCCAAATTACTTTTAAATTCACAGAGCCAGTAAAAGATCAGATTGCGATCAACCATTATAATGATAATCAGCCTATGAACATGCAAACCATGTTCTCCATGGAGTGACAAAATTACCTAAACACAACACCACACTCATTAAGGAACTATGGGAATCATAAAGTAAATAAGCTTGACCCCTAATCAGAAACCAAAGCCCATTATAAGAATTGAAATCACTTCAACTTCCATAGATGTAATTAGAGGATGAATACCCCTTCACCACGGACATAACCGCCACTGATCTGCTTGTCGCAATGAACGGCCTTTATGAACTTGTCACCTATCCTGCAACCTGCTTTCTCCATGTGTTCCTTCAAAAATTTTACCATTGGAACTGCAATTACATATATAATGAGATGAAAAACCCAAAACCCTAAACCCCTAGTAAGAAACAAGAGGGAGAGATGAGAGAGAAACATACTTCGGAGGCTTCTTCCAATCATGTCCTGGCATTCTTCCACAGTTCTTCCGCCGTTCACGGCCGATGAGAAGCCGCCGGAGCCAGGTTTGGAATTGGGCTCCTCCGCCATTTGCTTTTCTCCTCCCGCTTTCTTGGCGGAGGTGGTGGCTAATACGGATGCCTCAACGAGCCTTTCCTGGTCAACTACTGGACCAAGTTCTAAGTTCTAAGTCCAGTATCCTTGGGTTGGGGATTATTTTATGATTGGGCCTTATCTGTCTAGACTGAGAGTCCACCAATACTGGCCCATGCCCAACAACCTTCACGTCTGCTTGCTGCTCTCACATGGCCCAACAACCAATACTAGCCTTTAAAAACTCAAACATCTCATCATCAAGATAGTCACTACTGTTTTTTTAAGAGATATGTTCTAATTTAATTCAAGTCATAGTGGTTGGCTATTGAGATCGAGAAAATAGTTGGTACAAGTCTGAATACTTGTAGCACCAAATAAAAACATTAGTGATCTAATTTGGTGCGTCAATCTAATTGGTTGTGGGGATCTTCAACCAACTTTAGGAACATCCACCCACAAATTATAAAAATGTGGCAAAAAAAATTCTCCATTGCTAAATTTGAATACAAAAAATTTATGAAAACTCCAAATTAATTGATGGTCAACTGCATGAAATTTACCTTTGTTCCGGTTGTGACTACCATTAGACTCGGTCAAACTAAACCACATATACCTCCCAACTTCCATAACAAAATAGCCAACCGTTTATTCTAATAGCTAATTGTCCTAATGTCCCCATAAATCCCCGCCTTCTCCGCTACTGTCCTTCCCCTTCAACCCTATTTATACACCACCATCCCTCCACCAGATTACTCATTCTTTGGTTTCGCAGTGTTTCTTTGAAGAAGTACTGCAATCTCTCAGAATCAATATATAATCACTTCTCTTCTCACTTCTCCAGACAAAAATGGCACGCCAATTGGTTGTCCTTGCTCTCATCTTTGTCGCCCTTGTTGGGTTGGTTTCTGCCGAGGCACCTACCACTTCCCCCGCAGCATCGCCTAAAACTTCTCCTACACCACCATCATCATCATCACCCGCTTCTACCCCAACTGCTAGCGACGCAGCAGCTACCCCAACAGCATCAAGCAGCACTCCAGAGGCATCCACCACTGCCCCAACTTCATCAGAGACCGCCCCCACTACCTCTCCTAGTGCCACTTCTCCTTCTACCTCGGACTCGGCTACCCCAGCCTCCTCCCCCGACGGGGAACCCTCATCTCCACCAGCCCCCGCCAGTGAATCCACCGCACCAACCGCTGATAGCACTGTATCTGAAGGACCAGCAGCAGCAAGTGCACCTACTCCTGACGCTTCTGAGACAAGCGGCGCAACCACTTTGAAGGTTTATTCCGCTGTTTGCGCTGCCACAGTGGCCGGCTTCTTCTTCTTCTAAGTTGTGAAAAAAGTTTAGATGTTCAAATTTAAGTGATTCTTTCGGTTGTGTTGTGTGTATGCATTTGAGATGTCCTTTTATTCTGTAACATTAGAAAAAATGAAGTCCCTTTAAGAGGAAGCCATTGTTGGTGACCTCTTTTAATATAACCATGATCATTTGGTAAGTGTATGTAATTTTTGGGGTCACTTCAACATGTTGAGAATTCTTTGTTTTTCATCTCACAATTTGTGCAGTGCAAATATTACGATGCATGACCAAAATTAATTGCGAAGATAGACTCGTATAGCCGACCCTAAATAATTGAAATAGAAAATTTGGTTTGGTTGATTGGTAATTTGTGCAGCGCAAGAAAATCAAATTTGACTGAATGTTACACTATTACCCAACCTTTCCGAAATTATTTGGTCAAAATTTTTTTTTACATCCACAAAAATAAAATTAACTCTCATTGAATTTTATGGTGTAATTAATGAATGTTATACTATTGCCCCACCTTTCGCTCGAATTTGTTATGGTGTTTGCTTATTTGTTCAAAACGTTGATATGAAAATCCTGGGTTATTTTTTTCTAAGCACATAGTTCTGAATTGTCAAAAAAAAAAAAAAAAAACAAGTGCTTCTTTGTCATGGCTAACAAATTGAGAACTTGGTGAATATTGTAGTTCTAGTTTTGTGCTTGGCTTATAGTAATTTTTTTTTAATGTTGTGCTAGGCTTAATGTCTTTTGGTGAGATGCATTGATATAACTAAAATTTTTCACTAGATATTTGCTTATTCATGCTTGTGAATAAGATAGCCTATCATACATTATTAATAATCTTGAACTCATGCCTTGAATGTTGAATGCATGATGTCATTCAACAGAAAAATAGTCATTTAATTGGTGAGTTTTATTTAACAAATGCTTTCAGGTACGGGCTTTTTGTTTATCAAGGTTTATGCTCTGACGACATACCACTAGTCAAGTTGTAGTATAAAATGCAGTAAGTAGAAGGAGAGAGAAGACATGATTTATAGTAGTTCGGTCAATATGACCTATGTCCACTTTTAATAACTAGGTTCGTCGGAATTTTATTATCTCCGATGTGGAGGGAGAGCACATGATTACAAGCTTTGAGAGGGGAGGAGAGAATTATTCTCAAATGAGTCTAATGCCCCCCAAGTGTCAGATGAGCTTACAATTTATAGTGGTTTGACGTAGTAATTGTATGACTATTCTGACGGTCATTATGGCTTAGAACCGTTTGATAGTAATTAGATAGCTGATTCGGTGGAGGCGATCTATCATCTTCTCAACGGGCGAGGTGTGACGGTTGGTGTGCTCTCCAAAGAACTTGGTCAAGGATGAGGGAGGTTGATTCTCTCTAAGCTGCGAGGGTGAGGCTCCTGGATGCTCCTTGGTGGCATAGAGGAGGCTTTTGGATGACTCTTACTCTAAGGTGGTAGAGGAGACTCTTGGATGACTCTCTTGGATGACCTTTACTCCAAGGTGGTAGATGAGGCTCTTAGATGACCATGCATGCTCCCCTGCTGATGTAGTTTCTTGATCTTGATAAGGTTATCCAGGTGTAGACTCTTTTGGGTTTAACTAGCTGGATCTCTTGGAATTGGGCCTTTAGCTCGGACTAGGCTTATAACATGGGTTGGGTCTGGCCCATCATTTGCCCCCCAATGTCTTGCGTCCAACAGAACTTGGAAATGAGGGCATTTAAATTGAATTTGAATTTTCAGCTGACTAGCATAACTGAAAAAATTTCGAGAGGCTAAAACATCCATTTATAAGCCTTTTTTGGACTTTTTTTTAAAAGCTCATTACCAAAGGTAATGAGTTTTGCTCAGCTCATCGAAAGCTTCAATTTGGTATATAATAAACCCCATTTTAAGTTACGAACCAAAAGTTACGATCAAAATAGCAAGCAGGGGTCCAAGGGCGCGTTTTTGGGCGAATAGCCAGCTTTTGGGCAAGCAGGCCACCTCCTTACAAGTCACCTCCTGGCGAGCATACAACCACCTATGAATTAATTTTATTTTTTTAAAAAAAATTCAGGAGGCCAAAATACCTCTTTCTGGATGTTTTTTGGACTTTTTTTTGAAAATCTCATTACCAATAGAAATAAGTTTTGCTTAGCTCATTGAGAGCTTCGATTTAATATATAATATGTCTCGTTTTGAGTTACAGAACAAAATTTACGGTCAAAATAACGAGTAGACGCACTGAGAGCGATTTTGGGCGAGCAGGCACTGCTCTAGGTAACCATGCAGCTGGGCACACTGTTTTGGGCGACCATGAGGCCTTGAGCGAGCTGGGGAATTGCCTAGGCGCCACTCCAGGTAGTTTTGAGGAGCAACCTGCTTGCATAGGAGGGGTGGTCTGGCATGGAGATGGGCAGGCAGGTAGGCGCCAAAAAGGGCCTAGGCGAGCAGGCGGCATCGTGCATTACTACAGTCCGCGCAGTGGGTGAGGAGGCTACTCGAGTCTTCATGTATGCTAGCCTGCACGTTGGGCATGATGATTTGGTCCATCAGGCGCTTAAGGGCGCTGATCCTAGTGAGTAGGGAGGTGGAAAGAAGGCTGGTCTTGGCGTGAAGGCACCAAGAAGCACCATTTTGGGCGAGTACAAATGGTTGGGCACCTGCAGAACTACTTCTCTTGTACGAGCAGAGGGGGCCAGACACCTCTTTAAGTACTGGGCTGCCCATTTGGGCGAGCAGAAAGGGTCAGGCACCTTTCTAGGCACTGGGTTGAGTAGTGCAAGCTACAAGGAAATTTTAGGTGCCACTTTTGGTGATGATTCGAGGAGTTCAGGTAGTCAAGGAGCTTTGGATGCCCCTGTAGGGAGTTCAATTCTAGCCCATGCAGGCGGGGTTGCCCAGGAATTTTTTGGCAAGCCTGGTTCTAGAGCCCAGGGGCAGAGTACGCCAGACACTTTCAGCGGTGATGGTCCAGCTCCTCTCAGTGCACCTTCTCAAAATCAAATTCTTCCATGATATTCTAAGGATTGTTTCTGCTTATCACATCCCCCAACGGTTCTATGTCGCCGAGCTGAGATGGGTGAACCTGCTTATGATGACAAAAATAATGTTATTTCAAACATTAAAATATTTAATATAATTACCTGAAGAAAGAGGCAGGCTGCTTGCGCGAGAGTAAGACAAAGTTTGAGGATTGCTCGTGAGAGAGCTACATCTTTTGAAACTGATTTTTTGGCGACCTATGAGAGAGTTTTTAAACTTGAGGTATAGGCTACTTGCTTGAGAGCATAGAAGATGCCAAGCTTTTTTTTTGGCGACTCATGAGAGAGCCGGGAGATAGACTGCTTGTTTGAGAACAGTGCAGAGGTCAAGCTTTTTTAGTGACCCGCGAGAGAGTCGCTAAACTGGAGATAGGTTGCCTGTTTGAGAACAGTGCAGAGGTAGGCAAGCTTTTTGGCGACCCTCGAGAGAGCCGCTAAGCTGGAGATAAACTACCTATTTAAGAACAGTGTAGAGGTAGGCCAAGCTTTTTGGCGACCCTCGAGAGAGCCGCTAAGCTGGATATAGACTACCTGTTTAAGAACAGTGTAGAGGTAGGCTAAGCTTTTTGGAGACCCTCGAGAGAGCTGCTAAACTGGAGATAAACTACATGTTTAAGAACAGTGTAGAGGCAGGTCAAACTTTTGGCAATCAGTGAGATAATTCACCTCGCCTGAACCTGTTGATTTCCTCAACATTCATAAATTTTTAAACTTTTGTCAATAGTTCTGGCATGCTCTTTGGTGGGCGTTTCATCATGGAGAAGAGGAAGCTCAATGACCGAAGGCCTCCCAAGAAGGCAGTCATGCTGACGTTTTCATCGGGCTCTTCGACCTGAAGGACCTCCTCATTAAAACGAGTGAGGTAGCTTCGCAGGCTCTCATCTCGGTCCTACTTTATGCTGAACAGGTGGGTGGCAGGCTTCTGGTGACGAAGTCCTCCAATAAAGTGCAACACAGGACCTGTTCAGCTTAGCAAATGAGCCGATAGAAGCAGGGGTGATTTTGGCGAACCACTATCAAGCGGATCCCTTCAAGGTGGTTCGGAACGCTCTGCACATGATTTCGTCAGGGACGTTGTGCAGTTGCATCAAGGTCTTAAAAGTTTTAAGGTAGTCTAATAGATCCTTCGTACCATCAAAGGTTTCTACGGATGACATCTTGAATTTTTGAGGGAGTGGGTAGTTCGCCACGTCAGGTTTAAAAGGTGTGTCGGTTCGACTTACAAGGTAGTCCACTATCTTGGGTCCTCGTGCCTTCATGGCGTTGAAGACATCACCCAATTGATTCTGTACCTCCTTAATTTTTTCGTCTCAAAGATTAGGAGGAGGTCCCTTGGAATTACCATGAATATGACTCTCATGCTCCAAGCTTTGATTTTCACCATCTTCCCCTTAAAAAAGAGGGTTTCCATCATGAAAAGAGGGAGGTGGAAGTCCCTTGTGGGGAGCTCCCTTGTGCGGGGCGCCTGAGGGGGCTCCAAAGGAGGCGCTCAGATGAGGAGCACCCATGTGGGGAGCTCCTTGATGCCTAGGGCGTGGAGCTCCTTTGACTTAAGGTCCAGGTTGTGCTCCTCTTCCTAGATGAGGAGCGCCCATGTGGAGAACTCTTTGAAGCCCAAGGAGCATTAGTTGTAGGATCTGTTGGTTCTGGGCCGCAAGTTGTTGTATGGTCTCGAGCATTTGCTGCTCACTTGGGGCAGGATTGGTTGGTTGAGGAGCAACCTCCTCCTCTTCTCTTGGTGGTGGGTTATCTTCAGGCTGATTCATGGATATATTGGTGATCGACTTTGACTCAGCAAAGGAAAGTGGCTAGGTGAGAACTGTCGTTCCCATAGACGACGCCAAACTGATGATGCACAAATTAGTTTGCACACCACTAGTCAAGTTGTAGTATAAAATGCAGTAAGTAGAAGGAGAGAGAAGACTGGATTTATAGTGGTTCGGTCAATACGATTTATGTCCACTTTGAATAGCTAGGTTCGCCAGAATTTTATTATCTCCGGTGTGGAGGGAGAGCACATGATTACAAGCTTTGAGAGGGGAGGAGAAAATTATGCTCAAATGAGTCTAATGCCCCCCAAATGTCAGAGGAGCTTACAATTTATAGTGATTTGGTGCAGTAATTGTATGACTATTCTGACGGTCATTATGGTTTAGGACCGTTTGATAGTAATTAAGTAGCTGATCCGGCGGAGGCGATATATCATCTTCTCAACGGGCGAGGTGTGATGGTTGGTGTGCTTTCCAAAGAACTTGGTCGAGGATGAGGGAGATTGACTCTCTCCAAGCTGTGAGGGTGAGGCACCTGAATGCTCCTTGGTGGCATAGAGGAGGCTTTTGGATGACCTTACTCCAAGGTAGTAGAGGAGCCTCTTGGATGACTCTCTTGGATGACCCTTACTCCAAGGTGGTAGATGAGACTCTTGGATGACCATGCATGCTCTCCTGCTGATGTAGCTCCTTGATCTTGATAAGGTTATCCGGGTGTAGACTCATTTGGGCTAAAGTAGCTGGATCTCTTGAAATTGGGGCTTTAGCTCGGATCAGGCTTATAACATGGGTTAGGCCTTTGGGCCCAGCCCATCATACTCCATTGAGATTCATTTTCAGTTGTTTTGAATTATCATATTGCAGTAATTGATAAATAGTGGTACTAATGTGATGTGATGAGATTATGCAAAATAGTGTTTATCTATACTATCTCTAAATGTCATTAAAAGTGAAAAAATTTTGTTAGACCAAAATAACCTTACCAAACTAAATAATGTCTATTCTACCTATATGTAGTTGATAACATTATTATATCGTAATAATTGTCACAATTATTTTATTATTGGCTACTATATTTAAGTTTTGTATAAACAATCTTGACCGTTGGGTTACTAGCCTTTTAATATCATAATGAATAATTATAATATCATTTTTTTTCCCCACACTCACTTTTAAAACCTACAATCAGTGAATTTTTTGTTTTTTCTTCTACAAGTGTCTATCTTTATCTATTTTTATTTTGCATCAATTCATTAATCAAACTCCCAAAGGAAGATGAAAGTAATCTAGGAGAAATGAATCTTCATTGGTTGTTTTAGTTTTCTATCATTCACCATCTTTGACCTGATTGAGATAATTAATTTTTTATAATAGTATATATATATATATATTGTCTTTCTCTTATTTATTTATTTTTTTTGGTACAGATGTCAAAATCACCATATATGCGGCTCATATCTTTGAAAATGATTTCTCTCTACTCCAATATACTTAGCTTGGAGTGTTTTGAAGCTGACGTGAGTGGAGATATGGATACGTGAATATATGTTTCTTATAGTTTTCATGTGAAATCTTAAAAGATTTGTGTCATTTTTATCCATGCAAGAGGTATGGGCACTCTTATTGAGATTTCTTGTTTCCATACATATTAAAACTTATATATACTATTAGTATATTGCCAATGAAATTTCAGGTGAGAACCATAAAATCCCTTCAATGGTTTGCTTGATTTTGTTGTGTATTTCTAATTAAAATCGTTCCTTTGACAGGTAAATGGATTTTTGGATGTGATCAACACCAAAACTTTTTGTGTTTTCCTTGTTCATCCTAACTATTCATTTTCTTAGTGAGTCGAAAAATCTTGTTTGCACAAAAACATCTTGGCATCATGAGCTTGTGAGGCTGTGCAATATAATCATAGTCATAACTTGTTAGCATGCATCATAGTATTTACTAAGCCACTATCAAATGCTTCTGAAACTAGGCCACTAGATTTATTTCTCCATTTTATGAAGTAATAAATTATAAAGTAGACCCCTTTTTAAAAACAGAATAAAGAAGGTCGTTGAATATATGGAAAAATATATCTAGATAATATAAACCTATGCTTGTTGTATGTATCTTGATTCTTTTTATTTTTTTGTTATACCAGGACAATATATTACATATATAACTCCAATAAACAACATTACACAAAGATAATTTTAGAATAACATACTCCCATCATGTTAGCTAGAAACTTCATTTTGTAAACATAAGTTAGAAGTTGAATTGTAATTTTATATCTTGATTCATAAGCATATATTTGATAACGTAGTTGTTATATAATTTCAGCAAAAATAAAAATATAAAAATAAAATTATAATTCAAAATGTCTCATGTACAACGCACAAGTATAACAACTAGTTTACATAAATATTTGATTATATAAGTTGTATACACAGGTTAATATTGCTTAGGGGTCATGCTTTTAAAGGAAGCTTTGTCAAAAAAAACAAATTAAAATAATAGTCGGTTCATATCAACTATTAGATTTTTCTTTGTTACACTAATTATTTTGTCCCGAGTGTTCTATAGGTGATGAATTTGTGGTAAAAAATTATAAAAAACAACAAAACTAAAATGAATAGGTTATTCTTAGATGTCATATTGCATATCTCGCCAGATGACTATTAATTAATATACACCAAATTGGCTGAGATTTGGACTAATGTTTCTTTTTTTCAAATTACATAATGATTTCAAGCACCGATAATTTTTATTATTCAATATAACAATAATTACACAAAAAATAATTGAAATGTGATGTTATAACTAATCATATACCTATATTTTTATTAGTGTGATTCACCATTTATATTTGTACTTAAAATTAATTGATATTATTAGTTATTGATTGTAAATTAGATTTTTCTCTCCGATGACCGGCTTGGGAAAGCGACGACTGTTATTCTCATCCCATGCTCCCAATGATGTTCCCGGGGATTTCCCGTGATTGATGGACCCCCGCCTTGAATTCTAGAAGGGCGGTCAGGTAACAGCATTAGTCAACATAATTTAAGTCTTACCAGTAAATGAAATTAAATAGATTTATTATTTAAAGTAGTATCATTTTACTTCAACTGCTCAGAATTCTGTTAGTAAAATTACTTAAATTTAATTTATTGAATAAAGTTTTTCGATCAAGTTATTGTTGTTGTTAGACTTAATCTCATCTTATGTTTAAACAATTTTATTTAACAAATCGGAACTAAGAAATATTAGTTGATATTCTCTCTTCTCTGTCTCTCTCTCCGAAACTTGCTATCTTTTCAAGTTAGTCCCTCGAGACGGTTGTTAAAACAGCAATATTATTCGACTTAATTTAAAAATTTAATATAAAGATTTAATGCATTGTGACCATCAGATTGATAATGAATCTTTAGTAATTAATGAAGTCTAATATCTTTTTTTTTTTTTTTTGACGGTCAGAGGTATCCGAGCCAGTTTTGTATACCTCGATTAATTTCCTTCTTAATCTGGTCAAAAGCAGGTTATCCACGCTGAGATTAGGATATTCATGAGAGATTTATCCCTCATGGTTTGACCCAAAAGAGCTACCAAAATTCGAACTCAAACTGTCTAAATTTGTAGTTCTTCCCTGTTTTCACTTAAACTACATTTAGAGTTTTGAAATCTATTATCAATCCAATAATTCCGGGGCATTAGGTTTCTATATTAAGTACCAATATTAGGTTCTTAAATTAAATATACAAATAGTATTATTAGTGTTGAAAAGTTTGCATGCATGAGAAACGAATAAAACACTTAAATTTCATTAATCAACACTAACTGCACTTGTTGTCTTTAGTCAGACGAGACTTTCAACAACTAGGCAATGGTTTTGAAAGCAACAGAAGAGAAGACTAGGAATTATTAAGTTTCCTAATTGGGACTTGCAATTCGTACGTTTTAGCATCTGGAGCCCCTCTTGCAGTTCAGTGCACCAGCAGTTGTGGTCATTGAACCAACAAGCGAAGATGGTCTAGCACTTAAGCTAGAAGCCCTGGCGTAAGTCGACGATGCACCGGCCCCGGACTGCCTGAAGTAGGCGCCGTTCAACATCAAATCCCCCTCTGACCTCCAGTTCCAGTTCCTCCATTCACTTTCCGGTGCTTCCTCGTGTTTGGTTACCTGCATGAACATTGCTTAATTAAACCGAGGAACTCAATACAACAACAAGTGTCAAAAAAAAAAATGTGTTTGTGTGTGTGAGAGAGAGAGAGAGAGAGTTATATGTTCTGACCTCTTTCCTGAATCTAACGTCGGGTGCAAGAAATCTATTGCCTTGGCTGTTGATGGTAGGGGCTGCGCTCCCTCCTATGGCGTACAATTCCCAATGGGTATAGTCATTGTTTACCACATGAAAATACCCATGTCTACATCTGAAAATTTGAGAATGTGTGTCTAGGTTATTGTCTTTCAGTTCACCTTTTGATCAATAAAACCCGTACCAAAAGTAGTTTACACTTTATAGACTATGAAGCTGACAAAATTAAGTATTTTGGGTTAATAATATTTTTGGTTATGTGTTTTTTGGTAGTTTAATTCTCATTATATTAATTTTATCCATTTGATTTTTAAAGTATTCAATCCGTATTATTTTAATCTCTAATTAGACAATTCGTTGTGTTTTTTACAAAATAATCATGTGTTATTTTTTTAGACCGTATAACATATCCAACACGTGATTATTCCGTTAAAAACTTAGCGGTCCGTCTATGTATGAATCAAAATGATACGAATTAAATATTTAGAAATTAAATTGACAAAAAATACATATTTGAGGGATTAAAAATATTATTAACCCAAATATTTTAAAAAAAATAGAAACCAAAATGACAAAAAGGGCATATTTGGGTGACAACTTTTGAATTTTACTCAAAAAAGAATAATCTAATTAAGTTATGGGTCGACCCATTACTTTATAAAAATTTACCTAGGCATCCTTTGCACTAGTCCTTCACCAAAATGGTTGAAGGCAATGGTGACTTGCATGTCGCTGTCTTCAGTGTATGAATCACTGTGTCCCAAGAGCATGACCTTGTCGTGATGAGTCATGTAGTTGTTAGAAATGGTGATGGCTGTGGAACCATGTATGGCATCTATGAGTCCATCATGGCAATTAGACAAAGAACAATGATCAACCCATATATGCTTTCCTCCAAAAATGGACACCCCATCACCGTCCGATTGAGTCCACCACCCAGAATGTTGAGGAGAGTTTCTTATATTAGCATTCCCTCCCTGTTTACAATCATGTATGTGGATGCCATGTATGATGATGTTAGTTATATAATGAATGGTAATACATGGCCCACCAGCTATGTGAACACTCGCACCCCTACCATCAATGGTCTTGAATGAGTTCATGACAAGCTCTTGTTTCAGCTGGATGACCATGTCTCGTTTGAAGATGATCCATAGAGGTTCATTTTGTATTACAGCATGACGGAGAGTGCCCGGCTTAGGGTTCACGGCGTCATCGTCGCCGGAGTCGGTGACCACGTAAATTCGACCATTCTTTCCTCCGATTGCATTCTTTCCAAAGCCAATGGCGCAGTCGGCTAAACGCTGCCGGTTGTTTTCCCAGTTGGGATCGCACCGCCAGCAATCGTCGATGGGGTTGCCGGTTGCACAGGAGAGATAAGCCAAGTTTCTCCTAGAGGCATTGATGCTCCTGTCAAAATGTAACCCATCTAGTTAAGGATTGCAATAACAACAAAATAAGTAAACAAAGTGATTTATTTTTTTTTTTATGTATATCCTAGTTCTAGTGTGGAGAATTTATTTTTTATAGTCAAAGTATGCATAAATTGACTCGAATATCCTTAGTCGTTATATCCAAAAAAAATGCAAAATAATTACACACACACATGCACACATAAAAACTTAAGATGGAGAAGAAAAAACACAAGATCACACGAAATCCACAATGAAACAAGCAAAATAGAGAAAGAAAAAAAGACTACCCTATGCATTATAGCAAGGTCTTATGGCTACATTCAGGAGCAATTACAAAAGTAATATTTTACCATGTGTTTTATTTTCGTTACCTTTTCTTAATAATAAAAAATAAATGTACAAACAAATGAAAAATTTGTGAGCAATTACCTGTGCACATCTTGCACAACAAGTTCAGGGTCTTGAATTGATGAAGAGTAAACAAGGGCTGGAGAGAGAAAACAAAACAGGAAGAGGAAAGAGAATGGATTTGCCATTTTCTTTACACTATCCTTATTTGGAGCTAACTGTCAAAAGAGGGCAATTGTGTTGACATAAGGATGTGTTAACTGGGCTTATAAAGGTATAAAGCCGGGATACAAGGCGTGATTAAACCAAACAAGTAGGTAGGGTCCATATGTTTTTGTAATTTTAGGCTTAATTTGCTAGGGTTCTTATTTGGAAGTTGAAAAATTATAACTAGGCCTAAGTGGACAAATGAGTGAGATTCGCTGTAAAATATTCTTTCTTTCGATTTTTTTCTTCGCTACATCACCTATCATGCATGACTAGGAGATTCACTTAAAAATAGTGAGCCTTCCATGAGTTAATTGTGTTTGAACTACTCTTAAAAGAAAATTGAAAGAATCAAGGAAATACATTAGATGAGATTTTCGTCTCCGCATAAAAACGCACATCATGCCATCTTTCTTCAAAGAGCCATTTTTTTTTTTGGTTAAAGGATTGTAGATGTTTGGATCAATTTACATGTACATCGACTAATCTGTTACTCGATTCTATCAAAGACAGATCGGCCATCCACATATTTCCTTTCTATTCTCATAGCTTTTATAACAAATTTCATGATGAGTTTGAATAAGTGAAAGTTTTGCATGTGGGGGGTTCTCAAATGTTATTCAGCTCTCCTCATTTTTCAAATCTGCTGGGCCACAATTTTTTGCACCCCACTTTCTATTTGGTTTTTCATGTGCAAGAGAAAATAACTTTTTTCACACTAATCAATTTAATCTATACTATCTATAACTATTAATCATAAAAATAATAAGATCATGTTAAGCAATATTATAAAATAACTTTCACGTATCATATTTTAATTTGATAAATACAAAAGTAGTTTTTTTTATGAGGTCAAAGTCCAAATTATGTCTCCAACCTAAGGAGTTATTTATATTGGAAAATACTCACTTACCCAGAAAAAAAATTGAAGTGTTTTTGCCTTAGTCCACTTATTTTAATATCATTGAATAAATTATTTAACTAAATATTATATTAGACTTGATACTTATTATCCGACTCTAAATGTTGTATTTAACAAATATTTAATTAAAATTGGTACTATCTCTATCTTTTGTTTAATTGTAGATTTATCAATGTGTTCAAGATTATTTTATATGGTATTCAGACGACTCCTTACCGTATTATAGGTTCACTTTTAAATTAAATAAAAACACATTATGTGTATAATTTTTTATTATATTTTAATTAATAATTACAAGTTATTTGATTGAAAATTAATGAGTGAGATTAAACAAAAGTATATCGATACCTTATCCTTAAAAGGAAACATTAGTCCATGACCGTAATTGTTGACATGGAAGAAAGGAAGGAAGGAAGGAAGCAGGGTCAATCGTCTTGCTTTTTCTTTCCACTGACTGCGGAACAAACTTTTGACTTGTGAATCGAAATGTACAGTGGCGGTTTCTTTCCATCATTGTTCTTGCACGTTGTGCCCCAACGTGCAGCCTGTGTATGGATGATCTGCTATTCTGCGTTTCACACCTATCACTCAGTGGGATCCATCCCAAATTTCTGGTTTTCTCATTGTATTCTTTCTTTCTTTTTTTTTTCTTTTTTCAACTGTAAGAGGATTTTTGGGTCAATTAATACCCACTTTAACTAATTTCGTTATCAATTCATTTAAAGACAGACTATTTTTGTTTGTACTGTGATATTCATGAAAAATAAATTTCTTGTGACTTTTTCTTAAGAGAATTGTCAAGATTCGAACTCAAAACATCTGAATTTACAGCTCATTTTTATTATCACTTAAACTACCGTTAGAGTTCAATATATTTATTAGTATTAACATGTTTAAACCAATTTACACATATTTCGACTAATTTTCTTACCAACGTTATTCAAGTACGATACTAAAGAATTTATCCCTTAGGTCTAACACCAAGGGTGTTGCAAGTTTTAAAAATGTCTAGACTAACCGGTCATCAATGTCCTCAATGAACTGCTCAGTTTTTCTCAATTTTGATCCAATCTTAAAGTCTAAGCAGAGGATTGATGCAATGCTTACATCAGCTTGGCGCTAAAAATGTTCAAAAGGGCCGCAACAAAGGGTAGCAAAAAGGCCCACGGCCACTGTGATGGCCCACAATCCCAGAACCTAACAGACAATGGGTTAAAGTTGTTAAGCACAACCTGATAATCAGTACTGGACCTTTATTTCCTGTGGATGGTTCAACCCCACCAATTGTTCAACACTGTGCAGCCCTGGCCCATGGGTGTGCACGAACAATTAACCACCGGACCAGGCGGCCCCATTCCCAACTCTTAAAAGAAACGGATGCAAGTATCTCATCGCGGAGTAATGGTCTTGCCAAGCGTCTGAAACCATTAGTAGGTATGGGCCCGGAATGGACTTGGGTAAGCATTCCAAACTTGTTCTTATTGCTGAGGGTAGGCCTGTCAAAGAACCAGTTTTCAACCCAAATCCAATTCAAATTTGAGTATATGTCAAATGGTTATGAATTAGATTTTTAATTCATTAATCCGATTTGATTCGAATCTTATTCGAGTTGTCTAAAAAATTTGAATGTGGATTATAAATCCTGATCTGTTAGTAATCCATTTTGAATTAAAAAAAAATTATATTACATAAGTAAATATCATACATATATTATATTTCTATTGAAAAACACGTAAAAATAGAATAAATATCACAATGTAAGACCCATTTTTTTATTATCATTTTATTTTCCTTTCTTGTTTGGTTTTCCTTCTTATTTTTTCCTTATCCAAATTCTTATTATTAATTTTTTTTCGTGTACATATATTTTTGTGATAATTGGAGCAAATCAAATTTTTAGATTGAGTATCCGAAAATTAATGGATTCAAACATGGATTGAATTTTTCAAACCCGTCGAATAATCAGATCGACAAAAACTTAATCGGATTCAAATTCGAACTTGAGTTTAGGATAATCCAATCCATCACTAATCCGTTTACAAGTCTAATTGGAGGGAGTTATTTTTTACCAAGTCGTTTGAATTTACTACCTATTTAACCCTTCAACCATACCCCTTGTGTTAATCAAATTCTTGAATTATATTTTTGTATCAATTTAGTTCTTAAATTATGCTATATGACTCTTTTGTCAAAACAAAAACTCTGACGTGTACATCATGTGGTTCTTGAACTATACACTAATTTATGACTCACATCCAATGCACCTGAGAATTTCTATCAAAGTCAATGAAGAGTCACATTAAGTTAGATTGCATTATATAGAGGCTTGATTAACTCAAAGAATATACTTCAAGAGCCAAATAAATAATTAATTAAATCTTTTTGATTTTATTAGTAACTGAACGTGCCCTTTATTTTTTCAAGCTAAACATTATGGGTAAGATCTATAGGTGACTGGTTAAACAAAATTCAATGCATTTGACCTAATTAGTGAATATAACACAAGTTTTTCAAGTTGAATTTGAGTAAGCCTTCAACTTTCAAGGTACACATACTTTGGATAGCGGTAGCACGTACTTCTCCTCAAAGTTAACATGGTTGTATATCCTATAGAGTCAACCTTTGAAAAAAAAAAATTTGGTAACTTATCAAGATTTATGGATTTTTTTTAAATCAAATTAAAGAGTCATTTATATTTATAATCTTTGAGGATCATTTATAATTTTTAAAGGATCAAATTATAATTTTTTATTGTAAATAAATTCAAAATTTTGTATTTCAATACACAAAATTTATAAATTTTAATGGTACATGTGCGTGCAAGATCCTGCACAATATAAAAAACGAGAACAGATCTCTCCCTTGGTGAACTCGAGTGATCCAGTTGAGTGACCAACCACGCTGCTTGGAACAGCCTGCGAGGTCCGGTGATAACCTGGAACGGCAACGGGAGACCCTGGGGGAGCGGAAGAACGATCCAGTAAGGCTGAAAGAGGTTCCTGGAACAAAGAAGAACAAGTTAGAAGGGCGCCGGAGTGTTTTCCGGCGTATCCCCTCCGACGATCTAGTCAGTCTTTGAGAAAGAGAGAGGAAGGAGAAAACACTGAGTGTGTATTGTAGTAAAGAGTTTTTTGTTGCATACCCGTCTTGCCTTTTGCAAGGAGTATTTATACCTCAAAAGCTCATGATTGCTGTCAGTGTAGTCAGTAGGTGATCATTAGGTACAGGCAGTGTGCGCACTGATTCTGATGAGGAATGTCTTCTCTTCTTAACTGCTCGGGGTCCCGAGCAATCAATGCTGGGTCATCGGGATGCCGACGGTACAATGTACTCCTCTCGGGGAGGATGCAATAAATGCTCTGTATTAGGAGCATTTATTGCCTTTCATTTCCGAGCCTTACCGCATTGAATGCGGTCTCATCAAGGGAATGGTGTAATTAATCGTTTGTTTTCCCAAGTCGCGTGTCAGCAACGGCATGCGATTTCTCTGTCTTCGATGTGATATCATACGCCACGCGTCCATCCCCCATTGGCTGTGGCCCCTGCATTCCACTACGTTCTGACACTAATCGTGTAAGACGAGGTCATGATGAATAGTCTAGGCTAATGACCCTAGAGTAGAAGAAGCGTCCAGGATGGGGTACATCTCGGCACCGAGGAAAGGCTCATCTCGGAACCGTGGGAGGTATACCGACCGAGGTACCATATCAGATCGAAGNACCCTAGAGTAGAAGAAGCGTCCAGGATGGGGTACATCTCGGCACCGAGGAAAGGCTCATCTCGGAACCGTGGGAGGTATACCGACCGAGGTACCATATCAGATCGAAGTTACGTGTTGGTTGTAACTCGTACTGAAATGCCATGATCCTATATGACGAGTACCTCGGGGGCGAGGACCTTTATGCGCCGATGGTGCTTGACCTTAGTAACAGTGTTTTGATAAATACCGAGGACACGTGTCTTCATCATGGAGTATTTCAGAAAAGTTTCATCAGTACAGTACCAATTTTTTTTTAACGGCATCATAGTCTTGTCCTAACTTTACAGATATTATTTTATCCACCCGTCAACCTATTCCGGGCCAAACATTGAACACGGGGTCATCAATCTTTTTAAACTATTCGTTTGTGTCTATAATAAAATCATTGTCATTAGCCAGATCTTTTTTTGGAACTTGCAATTATAATAATATCACTGATGTAACTCTTGTTATTTTAATATTTATATATTCACCTATATAAGTATTAAATACTTTAAAATCATCACGTGAGAAGCATGTCAACGGGAGTGGAACTTTATGGCACCCAAGCGCAGAATAGCAATGCCCAGTCGCTTGCTCTCACACACACACACACACACGGCCCACTCTATCTACCTCTACCAGAGCGAAATCCAGCCTCCACCCAATGATTTTATTCCACGTGTCCATAAAAAGCACCACATCACCACCATATCATCTCTTCGTACAGAACAACAATCATCAAAGTGACCCATTCTCTCTCCTCCCAAAAGGTCAAGTCTCTGCCAAAAAGCTACACTTTTTCGTAACTTTTCCCGACTTTTGTCCATGTAGAGAGAGAGAGAGAGAGACAGACGTTAGAAGGGTATGTGCAGCAAGAACAGTCCTTTTAGCATCAGACGAGCCAAACTCATCTCTATGAGCAAGAAAGAAACCACTGTAAGGACCCTTAAAACCGCTCACAAAACCAGGACAAAGACCAAAAAACCCAAGTTTCTCAGCTTACGCCTTGAACTTTCGCCGGAAAACACTCAACAATCTGTCAAAATGGCCACGACAACCACCCCCCATGACTGCCGTAAGCATCAACTCAATCTATTCCCACTTCACCCGGAAAGCATAGTCGAAGACAAGGAAACCCACGACGACAACGTCGCAAACTTCTTCTCCACCGCCGACGGAGGCGCCACCACTCTGACCGCTCTTTTTGGCACCTCCGGGTCTTCTTCTGAAGATGAAAGCCCTCTGCCGCCACCGTACGCCTACAGGGACTCAAACGAGGACGGTGAAGTACTTGTACGGACGGCTATGAAGAACAAAGAGAGGGACTCGAGTGAAGAGAAATGGGTGTGTTACTCGGAGGTGGTTGAGAGGAAGGAGGAGGAAGTCACGAGCTCTGCAGTTGATCATTTGAAACAGAGAAATCGTATACATCAAGGGTTGTCGTTGAAGCTTGATTATGAGGAGATCTTGAATGCTTGGTCTCAAAAGGGCTCGCTTTATATCCATGCGGAGCCTCCACAAACAGTTCCTGATCTCCATGAAGACTTCCTCGGCCATGGCACCACCAATGTAAGTTCCTGCTGCTTTGTATGTCTACATGTTATGTGTGTGTGTGTGTGAGCCCTTTGATTTATAGATTTGTTGTGCATATAGTGGAATAATTTGGTTAACATGTAATTGCTTCATGGATCATTAATTATTGTAAGCAATGGGGAGGATCCTAAATTTGGGGAAAAATTATGATACCGGAGGGTTACTTTTTTTAATATCACAGTGAAAGTTAGGAACCAATTGATATGATTCAATCGGATGAGGATGTGGTTATGACTAAATGAGATCGCAGGGATCGATTTAGAATGGAACTTATTATGGGACCAGGATTGATCTAGCTTTTTGAGTTGAAAATTATAATTTGATCCGATTGAGTCATGATTGACTATTTTCAACCATAGTCATTCCCTTGGGATTGAGGGTGAACGAAAGAAGAAATAAAGATGAGTTTCAATGGAGCTGGTGACCGGGATAGAGTGTGGAATGGTTCAGCTGTTGTCGTGTCAGTTGTTGTGGGGTGCGGTGATTGTGAATGGTGAAAGGTGCCATTAATTGCTCACTGGAATCTTGGGCCCAGGCTCTAGTAGATGTAGCACTTTTTCACCTTTTTTGGGGCCCTGGTGCACCTTACCTTGCTGTCGCTATGGTGCAGCTTGGCAGCATTTGTTGTTTGATACTTACTAGTCAGACTTCCATTCCTTTTGGATCTGACCACTTGGATTGTTTATAAAATTTGATGATCACTCAGTATTTCAAGGAACATAACAAAATGTAGTTCGAGCGGTAACTGAACGGATTATAAAATTAGATATTTTAAGTTTAAATCTTGACAACTTTTGGGGACTAGAATATAAGGGATTTATCTTACACGAATGTTCTAATCTTGACCAGCCTTGGTTCGGACCAAAAAACAAAATTAAGCAAAGTGTGCGTAAACTGACTCGAACACCTCAGTTGAATAATAAAAAAAGTATTTTAAGGAACATATTGGAAATGGCAACCGAGGAAAAGTTGGTTCACAGCTGCAACCAACCCTGTTATTGGACTGAATCCAGACTCAAATCCAATAAATAATTATTATATATCATATAGGCCTTTCATGCTTCATAGAAGAAGCACAAACCTCGCATCAAATTCAGGCTCTTTAAAAAGCATAGCTGGGGAAGTTCCAAAAGAAAAAGAGGGTTTGAGACGAGAAGACAAGGTCTCCAAACAAACATTGCCCTAATTCAGACTTGATTTGATCTAGATATTATCTATTTGTATATGAATTTATGACGAAACTGATTGATTCTTTATTGGTTTTTTAATTTTTATAAAATGCAGGTTAGCTAAATTATTGTGAGCAGGATCAAATAGTAGGATAAAAAATTATGTATTTCGGATGTCTTGTGCATTCATTGAGGTAGATGTGAGATGATTTGTTAACCCAAAAGTCACTGTGACTCTCATGTTTCCAGTTTTGGTTTTGTACTTATTTATAAAGGCTGAGGCATACGTATCTTCTCTAGGGGCCGAGAGATGGATGGCAAAACAATGGAGGGCTGTGGAGTGTTCCGGAGATGAGTGGAATGAGCAGCAGTGGCCAATTGAAAGTGAAGGAAGAAGTAGAAGAAGAAGGAGACGAATGGAAGATGGCACATAGAGAGGCTAGTGTTTTAAGATACAAGCAGAAGAGGCAGAATAGGCTCTTCTCTAAGAGGATTCGATATGAAGTTCGAAAGCTCAATGCTGAGAAACGCCCTCGTGTGAAGGTACTCTGCATTTCGCCCCCTGATAACTTTAAATGTTCTGTTCAATTTGAGTCCTGTAGTTGCTCATAAACGCCATGATCAATTTTGCAGGGGAGATTCGTGAAGAAAAATTGAGAGTGCCTACTTTTGGAACTTATCATATTACTGATAAGAAAAGATAGGTGTACCGATGGTTTTGGTTTTTGGTTTTCATCTTTTCCCATTTTGCCCGTGCTGTCATAAATTGGGATGGCTTGTCATAAAGGAGCTATCCCCAGAAAATAAAAGTATAGAACTACTGTACAAATGTAAATGCAAATGCGATCAGCTTGAAAAAATGGATCAGATCAGATAATCTAAGTTAAAATTGTTCATCAATTGATGGGATTGTTACCACATTTTTACTAAGCTTTTGCTTATGATAATGTAAGGTAGCCATGTCTGAACAAAATTCTAATATTGTAAGCATATATTCCATACCAGGAATTGCTACTGTGGTAGGGTAGAAAATCAAAGTTTGCTTGTTGTCAGCCTTTATACAAAGTGTTTGTCAAATTCAATTTTTGTCATCACTAATAAATAATTGTACCGAAAACACAATTTTAATAACAAGACCAAATCGCGGTTGCCCTTCTCCCTTCCAAATCCCCCTCTCTCGTCCATGATATACACCACTATCAAAAGACAAAGGTTTACATGGGATTTCTTTAGACAGCTTTCGAGGTATGAAGCTTGCACTTTCTGTGTGAGCATGCCCATTATGAGAACCTGATAATACATATCATTTTGTGTAAAAGAAGATAAAAGTTATGAGACATATGCCTGGTGGCCCTGGTGCTGAGAAGTTTGAAATGTCTTTTACACACAATGCGGGAGAATGTTGGGAACTTCATGATCAATGCTTGTGGTCTTACTTTCTGCATGAACTCACCTTCTTTGAAATGGCAGAACCACCGGGATCTAGAACACATCTTGAAAGAAATACTCCTACTATTTCTCCTGCAAAATGCAGGATGTCCAAAAAAGAAAATGCTTCAAAGGATATATTCTGATAGTATAATTTCTTAAACACTGTACATGGACTATATATAATCACAAATCATGCAGTCATACTTGAATCACAGTTCCAGGGGTGTGAGTGTGTGTGGTTTTTTGATATTTTCCTTGTAAACTTCAGAAGATATCTTCTATGAGGATTTACGCTTGCCTCAGGGTTGAGACTGGCAAAATTTTCTGACTTCTTAGCCTGCAAGGATGGGAAGAGTTCACCAGTTGTGCAATTTGTGACCAAGTATGCACACGCAGTACCGCTACTACGAGGTTAAGATGGGTCAGCCCTACCTCCGCATGACTGTATCTACGACTCGCCCAAATTATACTGGAAGAATTTTAATGTTGTATTAAGCCCCACCCTTGAGTCAAATCAAGTATACAACCTTAGTACCTTGTACTAAGACGCACCCTTATTTTTGTTACCGAGTGAAAAGGAAAAAAAACCCACATGTCAACTCAAGAACACTACCTTGACTGGTGTTGCATACTGAGAAAACCTGAAGGAAGATGCTTGTAACGGCAGAATATTGGTTGACAGAAGAATAGAGAGAACAAGACTGTTCATACACAAGTTTCATGAGCATGTTCAGTTGTGCTCTCTATCTTCTGTCAACAACAGCCTCATCATCATCTTGATCATCCAAACAACATTAAAACCCTTGCCCTCCTTCCTTCCTACAAACGAGGAAGACAAACCCACTTAAAAGTAGAAGGGAAAAGAGGGAATTTTCATTGATAACATGAGAGGGGTCATGTTTAAGTTGGAGCTGAGAGGAGAATTTATACCATAGGAATATCATGGATTCTCTCTCTTATCTTTCAGAATTCCTTTAGTCTCAGGGCATATGCATCAAAGAAGCTTTAAGAGGCGGCTTAGGCATGGAGGGGCCCCTTGACTTGTTGAGATGAGAGTTGTGGACTTCCTGACACGGTTTTGAGGATCAATATCTCATTGTTTATGCAACAAGACATGACAAAATTTTCAAGCTTTCATTTTCATAGTGGATGACTTTAGAAGGTGCATGACGTCTGTCGAATGGGCATTCGCCCAGTCCAACATAAATAAATATGCATTTCTGACATCAACCACAGTTTTAATTGGGTAAGTTAGACGAGAAAATATTAGACAACGTGGCTATCGTCATGCAGCGTCATCATTCAATAATAATAATAATAAAAGACTAATATTTCTTAGGTCTAAATTTACTAACTCCATCAATCATAATCATTAGATTAAAGTGGATGCAAATATTTATTAGAACCTACAATTAATCCGATAATTAATTCTAACTAACTACTTCTCCATAAAATAATAGAGTTCGCTTTATCTATATAATTTTTTTTTATTAAATGATGATACAATGTTACAGATGATTTAATAAAATAACATTATACTCAATGTTTACAAAAAGTTTACGGTTGTTGACTTGTTGGTGGATGTTACACCATCTTCAAAGAGAAAGAAAACAAAGAATTGTAGGATTTTTGTTTGCATATAAACAGTATTCTTTTGATACTGTACTGTTCAATAGTCGCAGCTTGAAATCACCATCATAGAGAGAGATACCAAACGTTCGGCTATGAAAGGCAATTTCTCCTAATAGAAACTGAGTACAGATAGATTTAATGGCCTTTATTAACTGGTCACATCCCATGTGTTGGGTGGGGTTAGGGAGAAAGGAATGCACATGATTTGGATTCACATCTCGTCTAATATTTTTTCCTTTGATCTTTTTATTGACCGATCGATCATTCATTATTATTGAGAGTAAGATTCACTTGTATATAATGAATTTTAAGTGAATTTATATTACATGATACATTAAAAAATAATATATATTTGAGTGAATCGCACTTCGATGGTTTGGTTTTCATGGCCAGTACCAATAGGATCAATTCCAGGCTTACTGGATGGTAATCCAAATGGTTCTCTTCTTGCATTGCATATAATTTCATCTTGCCTTTGTAAGCTGGGCCTGGAGAAGAAAATGCATACTTCGCACGTCATTTAGAGTCCAAAACTGTATAGATGTCTCTGAAGTCCATCACCAGGCCTTTTAAGTTATATCAAGTTCGTGTTGTATTTAAATTATATAAAAATTCGAGGTCAATCATATTTTGAAGATTTATAAGACTTAAAGTCCTAGTTTTAAATGTTATATTGTGTCAAAATTTGTTCAATCCGTACTCAACTCATTAATATTTGTATATAATTGGGTTTATGTCATTTCAAAATTTGTTCACACATACCTCAACCATTTAAATAGTCATATGTAAAGTCGGGTTCATGTCGTATATAAGCAGTGATTAATGGATTTGTTTCGTGCTTAGTCGAACCAATTTATTTAATAAATCTAACGACGCCACCTATTTATTATCTGGTTCCATTTAGGCTCAACCTAAACCAGTTGATTCTTTGTCAATTTTTTTATTTGATTCATAGATAGTGTCTAAAATTGAAAGTGCTCAATTGAATATGTTACAATTCTTAGCATCTCGCATTGGTGAAATATAAATTTGACTATACAAATAGATATGGGTTTTCTTGCAACCTAATTTTAATACGAGTTTGACATCATCTAAAGTACTTACCAAAAAAATAAAAAGACATCATATAGTATGAGATCGGATCTGACATGGGCCGTGACTTGGTGTCACTGTTGCAATGAATATTTTCGTGTGACCTGACTTCTCGTTATGGTAGTGATAACTTATGGGCTAGAGATTGAATCTAATGTCAATGTGATAACCTATAATGCCTGTCGATTATAGAAGAACTAGTTATTGATTGTGCCTAAAGACACAGAATAATAAAAAATATTAAACAGTAAACATATTTGTATTCATATTTAAAATTAAATCACAAACATAGAAAAGAGATAAAAATATTTAAGCATCGGTTTGTAGTGGGGCGAGAGGTAGTGGGCGACAATGGTGGTAGTAGGAGACGATGATGGTTATGGTGGGTGGTAATGATCGTGGTGGTGGTGGCGGCGATGTTGGGGGCGGTGGAGGCGGGGGTGGTGGTAATGGTGGTGGCAACGATTGTGGAGGCAGGGGTGGTGGTAGTGGTGATGGCGGCAACGGTAGGTAGTGGTGGTAACGGCGATAGTGGTGGGGGTGGGGGTGACGACAATGGTGGTGGTGGAGGGTGGCGGAGGCGGAGGAGGAGGCGACGGCGATGGTGGTGGCGGTGACGATGGTGGTGGTGGCGGCGACGATAGTGGCGGGTGGCGGTGGCGGTGGTGAGGCAGTTTCAAACACTATTTTTTTTAAGTATTTATAAGAAATAATTTTTAAAAATAATTTTAAAAAGTCAATCCAAACACACATTTAGGCCCCTATTTTTCCTATTAAATTTTAAGTGTTAATATTAGCTGTTAGATTAACTTTAAAGTAAAATTTAAAACGATCTCAACCACGAATACTAAAAATTATTTTGTTTATCTTTTGAAATTTAGATTGTAAGCTACTTTATTATATAGATAATAATATGTTATGATCTCAATGTTTCACATTGATATAAGTATGAATTTGATTATATATGTACGAGCATTCTTACGCACTCTTTTTTGACAAATCCGTTTTAAGGGTGAATTCTATTGATGATTTCATATTCCAGTTATCTGTATAGGCTTGATAAGTTTGTGCGGTAGATCTCTCTACCATTCAATGAGTTGTTTAGGGTAACCCAACAAAAAAATATGGGTATCATATCTTTATTTATTTTATTTGTGATTTTTTTTATCATTGTTGTCAATGTTTTTTCATTTTTGTAATACTAAAAAAAGTGGTAAAAATAGTTACTATAATAATAGTAAAAATACTTACAACAGTAATAAAAAAAAAACCCACAAAAATGGTAATTTTTTTTGTACTGAAAAAAAGTGGTAAAAATAATTACACAACCATGGTAAAAAAACACCCATAATATTGATAAAAATATTTACAAATGTGATAAATCATCAACCAAAGTGATAATTTTTTTAATTATAAAATAACCCAAAAAATTATAAAAATACTCATTAAAATAGTAAATTTTGAATGTACAGTAGCAAATTTATTTATTTTTGGTCGGTGGCCTAGTCAAATCCAGCATTCAAACTTAAAACATGTGGGAATCGAACATCTCTTCCATGGTCTACATTATTCTGGATTAATCCCCACCTTTATTAGATTGATAATGTTTCAGAAAAAAAAAAATTAGATTGATTATGACATACAGTGCAGAAAACCGCATCAATGACGCAACAGAAAGTTCAAGCAATTCACCTAAACGAAGGTCCTACAACATTTAGGGTCCACCTACTCCTAGAATGTTCTTATCCACCATAATAATGTAACTAAAAAATTATAAATTTGATATAATCCTAGAATGTTCGTATCCAAATTCTTAAACTGACTTTCAATAATGTATCACCTGGAAGAACCAGGAAAGTTCAAGAACCCCCACCCAAACCAAACATCTATATATACTTGCTTCATCCATCTCAGCCTTGTTCACCCTTTGATTCGCAAACTACACCATAACTCCTTCATACACTAATGTCTAGAATCTCAAGTCTGTTTAACAATGGCGACCCTTTTGTGTCGCTAATGAATAAGTGTCCAGTTTTGAGTACTCCGGTGGACTGGAAAGAAACCCCGGAAGCCCATGTTTTCATTGCAGACATTCCAGGGCTGAAGAAAGAGGACGTGAAGGTGGAAATAGATGAAGACAGAGTGCTTCATTTAAGAGGAGTGAGAAAAGTGGAACAAGTTTACGAGGAAAATGAAAAGTGGCACCGTGTTGAACGCAAGAGGGGAAAATTTGCTCGGACATTTAGGCTGCCAGAAAATGCCAAGGTTGATGACGTTAAAGCGTCGGTGGAGAATGGAGTTCTTACAGTGACAGTTGCCAAACAAGAGGTGAAGAAACCAGAAGCAAAGGTGATCGAGATTGAAGAAAAATAATGGGCCATGTATAAGATGGCTCAAGTGCGGTGTGCAATATAGTTCACCAAGAATAATCACATTTCCTATATTGTTTTAGTTTGCCCAACGGGTTGTATTGTATTATGTTGCGTACATGTTATTTTGTATTCGTATTCGTATTCAATGTTAGTTTAATTGTGATATATTTTCTGAAATTATTCTTATATATATATAGATTGTATCATGTTTGAATCGAAATTCAAAATATAAAACTCTGTTTCTATATTAATCAAACTCACAACTCGTAGATACCTGATAAAGCACTTAATGTTTATACTAGCAAAACCCCCAAAAAAAAAAAACACTAATTTTGCAGTGCTGCTAACATTCATACAATACTTAATCAATAAATGAAAACAATTTTTTTTAAATATCATACATATTTTTCATACAATATCCTACTAATCGCCTATTTGGTATGTATGTCTTTATTAATTTAAAAAGTACATGCTTTTATTTATTGGCAAAAAAAATTGATAAAATATAATAATTTTTAATTTTCCCTAAATTAAAAATTTTCGTCCCATCTCAACATGAATAGTTCTAATAAAATCATATATAGAGGCTTCATGAGTTTCATGGAGTGGGTTTAAAATCATTGCCCAATGAGTTTATTGGTGAAAACAAAAGTTTGCCTCCAATCGGTATCTTTATCTACATAATAAGAGGGGCATTCTAGTCTTAATCAAATAGAATTTTTACTACTTTTATAGCCCCTTTTTTAATTTTGGGTACAAAAATTAAAATTATATTAGAAAAACAAGAAGTAAATACAAAGCTTTCAATCTCTACACTTCAACCTATTCTAGCTCTAGTTTCTTCTGTAAATAAGATTTCCTTCTGATCCTTTGATGGTGCATCCATCCAGCAAAGTGGAAGAGACCCATTTCTGGCTTGGCTTTCAATGTTATGGGTTGTTGAATTTGTGGATCTCTGTATTGTCCTATACTATGTATGTATTGTTGGAATTCCTTAAGCATATTCCCCAATAGTAAGACTAGTTGTCTAGTTTGAACTTGATGCTCCAATTAAATTCAAACAGGCCATAAAAAGTATTTACGCCTACTGCATCAAAGTTAATTTCGTACCTTATGGCACTCGGAAATGTTAGTCTAAGTTCAAAACCACTATTTGTTGGTCCAGAGAGGAGATAGAATAGAAATATGGGTTGGTAATGAGTGAAAGTACGAGAGAAAGACAGAGACAGTGTGTAAGTAATTTATCTTATCCGAGGGATTGAGGTTACGTCCATTGTAAGAAAGTTTTTTACTCCTTGAGTGTATATATTGTTTTCTTGAAGAAGAAGAATACATTAGTTTGCCTGGCTTAGAGTTTTTACAATAAAATGCTTAAAGAATACATATTTATTTGTATGGTTCACAGGTTATACAGGTAATCCTTTTAGGGTTTCGTACTACTTCTTCCTCCTTTTTGCTGATGTTGTGGGTCTCTCTGCTTTTGTCATATAGTGATCTTTGTCATATGACACCACTGGATCCATAGCCCTTGAGCGATTACACGCACTAATGTACCTGTGACAAAAAGTGCATGTTCATTATAGATGTCAGAAGTGGTCTCTTTATCCTTTAGACACGTGGCTAGATGGGAATGGTTCAAGATCGACAAGGGGGCCAATTCCTTGATCCTGAGCTTACCTCTTACTGGCTGGATTGGGGTTAGGCTGGACTTCAATCCTTCAGGTACTGTCGGACTTTATTCTTTGGGTGTGATTCATTCTAATCTTAGAGTGGATAAACTACAGGTAAGCGGTTTGGGTCACTCTACAAATAGAGGCCTTCCGAACCTATTGAGCTCTTGATTATGGCGGTCCATACCTAAAATCTTATCATTATCAGTCCCTAACACTATTTAATTCATTTTATATTTATTAACAAATTATATTATTTTTAATTTTATATAAAAAAAACTAATCAATCTTTACTTTTGCAAAATGGGGGCCTTGAGCTAATAAGTAAAGTTGGTCATGTCATATTCAAGACCAAAAAGGCTTTTACATCCCCCATTGTGGGCTGGCTATTGGTGAGGGCCCACATGCTGGCCACTTGTTGGGGTATGTTGGTGCCAAAAGACTAAAACCGTGGTTGTGACACGTGGACACTCAAGTGATTTTATTCCCTAGAAACGTGACAGCCATCGGATCAAGGACTTTTAGTTTTTTCGAATGAACGGTTAGATTCCCACGTGAACCAATTAGAAGGGAATGGGCTTTCTTCCCGTGCTTCTCTTTCAGCCTCTTCAGTATTGGGCCATGGGCGTTTTAATGTGCAAGCCTCTTTAGATGTGTTTTAGCCCATAAATTTGATTGTGTAAATTGGCCCATATGGTGGGTTTTTATTGGGTATCTGTGTTCTGACGCTGTTGATAGATTTTCTTACGGTAACTTATGTCAAATGGTACTATGCAATATAAATAATTTTAAAAAAGATGTTGATGGCGGTTAGATGATTCTTATTTTATACCATAGATTGTTTGAATTCTCAATTTAGGAGGGGCATTTGTTTTCTTTTATTTTTATTTACTTAGTCTTTTTTACACAAAAAATATCTTTTGTATTTTATTTATCAGACTCGGTTGCAATGAGCTATTTTTTAATGAAAATTTTGCTTTCTATCCTTTAACTTTTGGAGCTCTATTGTAATTTATTTGCTTTGTAAAAAAAAAAAAAAAAGAGTGATGATTATTGCCTCAATGTAGCTCTTCAAATCAAATGTGAATATGCATCTTAAAGCACCTTTTGAATATTGGGTTCATCATCCATTAGTAATGATTATTGCTCTCAATGTAGCTCTTCTTAGACTTGAAGCAAGCAATCTATAAAAGAAACCATCTTGATGTTCTCACTTTGGCTATTCTTTTATGCTTCATCTTTAATTGTGCGCATGCATGCGTGTTTTTAATTATATGTGCCTAACAGTTTGTGTGCGAGAGAGAGAGAGAGAGAGAGACATTATTGTTGACAGTAGATGGAACCAACATTTTATAAACATAGTAAACTATTCAAAATGACTCGGGCATGTATCAGCTTATACATTTGATATGCCCAAACAAACAAACACGAATATTACACAATGAGCCTTCTAATCTAAGCCAAGTTTATGGAAGATATTCATCACCACACTTGAATCTTTTCTTAAGTGGTTAGTAAAAAAAACAACCCCAAGTGTTAACTTAGACCCTAATGGTCCGATAAGGAGTCCCAATGGCTGCTCCTCCAGTCAATTGAAGGAGTTTCATCTCCTTGATGGCTGGATCTTCTAACAACAGCATCTTGTCCTTGTCTCTAACACCCACCATGTGCAGGTGTTCATAATCTTCTCTCTCCTTCCCTTTGAACAATACCCTTTGTTCTTTTGGTTCTAAGCTAGTCACTAATGACAGTATCATCTTCAATTCCCCTGAAAACAACACAAGAAGAGAAATATTATAAAATCGGTAAAAACCCAAGAGTCTCGTACACTAAGATGCCCTATATAATCTAGAGATTATCTTTCTGGATAATGAAAAATGACTGTAAAGAGAAAAGTAACTTTATAAGTTTGAGGATTTTTACCAAATGTTGAAGTTGCTTGGATGGATATATCATGCCACTGTGAAACAGTTGAGACTCTAACTGTAATCGTCCCGTGTCCAACACCTTCTCCACAGTCTCTCCTTTGAACAAGCATACCACCGGGACGAACTTCCCATTTGATTTCACCGGCGGTTACACACCCTTTGCCACCTGCGCCACCACTTGCGCTGCCACCTTTACCTATCTTAGAATTGCTTCTGGAGAACCTTTTTGATCTCAACTTCATCATTTTTGTCTCCCTTTTTACTCTCTCTCTCTCTCTCTCTAACTCAAGGGGGAAGAGAAGGGGTTTGATCTAGCTACTTATAGAACAGAAGTGACCATGTATGAGGACAAAAGTGGCTAAAATACAAGATCAGCCTTAGTCTTAGAAGCATAAAAAAACTTCAAAACTTGGTTATAGGATAGTGAAGGAACCCATGATGAGATTGTGACACATGGGTTGAATATGGTTGCAGTTTTTTGTGCTGATTTGTGGGGGTCTAAAGCACATGGGGTTGGAGGCTTGTAAACACGCTTTTGCTTGATTGGCGGATCAAACACAATCACATACAGCGGCCGAATGGTCGGTTTTTTTTTTTTTTTCTTTCTACAGGTATTTAGGCATGCGCTGATTACTTTTTCGAATTCAGCAGCTGGCTACGATGACTTGAATTGAATTAGAACATGTCCCTAAAAGAATAAAGATAACTTACCCTTAAGGGGTGTGTAAAAAAAATGAACTTAAAACATCTAAGTTATTAAAAGTTAGATTTAACCACTGAACCACCTTAATTGATCTTTGTAAATAATAGATTAATGATCAATGACTATATATAACTCAATAAAATTTATAATTTTATATTTATTGTTCAATATGATATAAAAAAATAATTTTTAGTACCATACTATTATCCGAATACTTTCATTTAGGTCTTGTTGTCTTGGACCATGTTTAAAGGCCATTAATTCAAGCTTTTTATGTTTGGGGAATGCCAAAAGCAAGAAAGGGGCAGACCACGAGGCTGGCATTTGCTTTCTTTTGTCTCCCACTATGCCTTTCTTCCTTGCTCTTTTTGCTATAACTATAAAAAAGATTGAGTGACACACTTTGTTAGCTTTATGGGGGACCTTTCAATAATTTTTTGCAAGTGTTGAATGCTCCAGTCCAGCATGTATAGTCCTCTTGCTATTGTTCTGTAAATTCATTTTTCTTAAGGCTCAGTCAATTTTTTTTTGAAAAAAAAAAAACACAAAAACAAAATGCCAATGCAATAGTACAAACATCTTTAAAGTAAGTTAAAAATTTTCAAGGGGTAACTCAAATAGTAATGGGGAAGAGTTATAAATTTAGATGTTCTGAATTCGAATCTTGACTATCCTTTGGAGTCAGACAATGAGGGATTTATTCCTCTTGAATATTTTAGTCCTAACGTGGACGTCTGTCTTTGATTGGACCACAAAAGAGAATAATTAAAATTTGAATAAATTGATCTAAATAACCTGACTATTAAATATATATATATATGTGTGCGCGCGCGCGCGCACACACGCTTAAAGGTTGAGTCCCACTTTTGATGGCCAAATGGGCCTTAGATCCCAAATGTCGTATGGAATATATGTTACAAATATAAAATGGGCACCGTTTTTTTTTTGTCTTCACTTGTTTACTTGCGACTTTGTTTAGTTTTCCGGTTAAGTTAGGTGGATGGATGTTATAATGCTTTTGAGTTTTTATTTTCTAATAATAATGGTGGTTGGCTCATCCATAAGGTATCAACCCATGTGAAATAGAGGTGGAAAACCTCTCTCTCTCTCTCTCCATTAAAAATAGGTGCAAAGTTCAATTGGGTAGTATGTTATTTTCTTAACAAAAGTAAGTTCACTAAACTAGCACGCCAATGAAATACATAATTGTTCATCAAAGTGGTATAATTGTTCTTGCAAGTTTAAACTTTTTGGTAGTACTTGTTCAAGAACAATTGGAAGGAAGTTGAAGAAAGAAATTAAGGCCAAGAATAGTTGGTTGTAGGAGAAGGTTGGACCATTTGATCGCTGGTTTTTGGGAAATCCCAGCTGAGTGGAGGAGGGGGCCATATGTCGGGCTGCCCTATATGTTTCCCATTAGAAAACAAAAAGATGTTGGGTGATAATGCTTCTCATATTGTGCAAATGGGTGATTGAGATTCATTCAAGCATGGGCAAAAAGAATAAGTAATTGACATGGAAAATACCCCTACTATGATTTGATCCTTTGTTTTTTCCCTTCTGCTTCTGGGTTAAGCAGTGTTTGTATAGCATGCCAAAAAAGCTTGCACCTTCTTGAAGATTAAAAGGAAAAAAAATAAGGTAAGGAAAAACTTTTTTTTTTTTCAAACAATGAGGTGTTCGGGTAAATTTATACATAACTCGATTAATTCTCTCTCTGATTTGGTCAAAAACAGACCATCCATGTCGGGTTTAGGATATTAATTCATGAGAGATAATTCTCTTGTGGCCTAATTCTAAGAAGTTATCAAGATTCGAATTCAAGATATCTGAATTTTTGGCTCGTCCATGTTACCACTTAACTATCTCTTGGGGTTAAGAAAATTTTTTGTCATCAACAAATTCACCATACACTGCCATATGTGACAGATATTGTAACCATATCACCAATAGTGACGCCATTACTTTTTTTTTTTTGGGTCATAATGTGTCTAAACTTGCATTAACTATTCTTTCGAACTCAGCCACTGATTATCGTGGTTTGAGTTGATCTAAAACGTGTTTTCAAAGGGATAAAAATAACTAGCTCTTAGCACACCACAACTACCATCACCTAGTACATTAAATTGAGAGAGAGAGAGAGAGGGTTTCTCCCATTTTAATAGAGTATAGTCTCACAGCTACAACTTTCTAAAATCTATAATTTACAGCTATTGAGGGATTGATGTAAATTCAAAGGATTAGGTGAGATTAACCCATCATATAACTTGCAAACTCAAATAACCCTTCTATTGCAATCACTAGACACCAACTCATCTGTTATTTGTTCTTCTTCCACCTGCAAATCAGAGGGGGTCAAGATACAAATATAGAGGTCGTCCTCTACGCTTACCAAGAAAGCTAAGAAAATAAAATTGAATCATCGATCTTTGCTGGGTACACTTGAATTTATGATATCTAACGAGGCATGCTTGAACAAAGGCCAATGCACAAGATATATATATATCTTCTGACACCTCCCACGAGATTTGCCTTTTGTTTGCATATATGCAATCAGCAGATCAATAAAGGGGGAAAGATACTATGGAATCGAAGTCATTGGGCTAAATAATGGAGTTACATGCGTTGTCTGGGAAACAAATTCAGCCCTTCTGGTTCCTGTCTTGTAGCAGTCAAATTGATTTGTTTGCATGCAACCAGAAGATATAGGGAAAGATTCTGTGGAATCGAATTGATTGAATACTAAGGGAGTTACAACTTACATTACATGCTTTGTGATAAAAATATATATATATATATTTGTAATCTGCAAACAATCTAGCAGTAATAAAAAAAAAAGTATAGTTGTTTTGTAGAAGGACGAAAAATGTTTATTTTGATTTAATTTATTAGTCTTATTTGTTCAACTAATGCATCATAATTATTTAAATAGTGAGAGACATTCAAATGATTAAGTTAACACTAAGTTTCAATATTTGATGGACTCACAGATTATAATAAATTAGATTTCAATAACATTGTAAATTCAATTGACATAATCAACCACCGGATAATCCAAAAACGGTCTTTGAACTCCAATGTTTATGAAACAATCTCCATTTCAAAACATTTTGGAGGAATAATTTGGCAACATTTTTAGTGGAAAAATAAAGAGAGTTGAACTGATTTTTTTTTTTGAATAAGAAACGATAAATGTCTTATTCATAGGGAATACCTTTTATAAGGATAGGCATCACAAACTCAAAGTAAATGATATTTCCATTCCATGTAATTGGACTCTCAATAAATTTCAAATGTTTGGCGAAACTATGTGCAATACGATGGAGACGGATTGTTGGAGAACTTCCTTTATCGATAAGGAAAGCCGGCCACAAAGGCACCATTTTCCTCTCTAATAGATCATCAATTTCTATGACGCATCAAGATGAGATGAATATGAATTCTCAAAAGCTCCCAAATTCAAATCTCGCAAAACATATCTTACTTGCTCCGGCCCAAACTATTTGGGTTTCTTGAATAAGACATTCTATACTATTGGGTTTTGTGATTGGGCCTCAACGAGCAAGCAAGAGTGCTTAGACGAGGCCGGACTAGTCATCCTGTCCTATATAGGGTGTTGTTTGTTTGGAGATGATGCTGTCAATGGTGGATACGTCGTCGTTTTCAAAACGATTGGTGTTGCCTTCCGAGCCATGTATTATGTGTATTCCTTGGCAGCATCATCTTTCCTATTGATTCAATTGTCCCAAAACACTAATGATATGGCTCTCACCCACGGCAATTAAATGGCTGTGAGAAGGTAAGCATCAGTGGGAAAATATAATGGCCAACAAGCCGAACCCCATACAAGAACAACACTGAATCTTCTGGATTCTGTTCTTTAGTGACAGGTATGAATCCATTTCTGTGAAGTTAGAGCCAAAGATCAACTGTTGTTTCTTCTTTTGTCTTTTCAAAGTACAAATTGTTGCATTCAAATCACTTGTGAGATGATATTACATGCCTACCCACTATCTAATTACATTTCTATTCTTGGGTGTCTTACTTTACTTGTAAATTCTTTGTAAAACAATGCAATCTCTGACCATTTGGCCTTTAAGACGTGACTCTTTGATAGTGCCCCAATTGGATTTTGAACTGGGTACTCCTTTGAACTCGAGAACGAGTAGGAGGAGAAAAAGATGGGATCGTCTTCATTTCGTGTGTCACATTAAGAGACCCGTTCACTTACTCGTATCAAGCAATTTAAAGAATTTTGGGGTTGGGGCTTGTCACAGGAGTCAAAATCATGATTTTGGATCTGGGTTTTTCTCTGTATATTATTCACTCGAAGTTCATGGCTTTTGTGTGCCGAAGAGGGGTTCTTTTGGTGCATCTTTCGCCTTGGCTTGGGCATCGGAGGAACAAGCAATTGGGAGTGAAGTCATGAAAGAAAATTCAAATCCCTTGAATGGATTGTTAGAGAAAGGTGAGGCTGAGGGTTTAACTAGGGTGAATATTGAGGAATTAAGTGATAGTGACATGCCTCTTCATGGTACTGAAAAGGGTGATGGCGATGGAGGAGGAGAAGAAGAAGAAGATATCAATAATAAGGAAGAAGTACGATGTGAGAAGAGTAAAAGGGTTGATGTTCGTGCCCTGGCCCGGAGCTTACATTTTGCCAAGACAATAGATGATGTAGAAGATGTTCTTAAGTGCCAGGGCGAACTTCCTCTTCAAGTATACTCATCTCTGATTAGAAGTTTTGGCGTGGACAAGAGACTAGATTTAGCAATGGCTATTGTTGAGTGGCTTAAAAGGAAAAAGATGGATAGTAAGGATTTCATTGGCCCTAATCTTTTCATATATAATAGCCTTTTGGGAGCAGTAAAACAGGCTGAAAAATTTCAAGAAGCAGAGAAAGTCATGCATGATATGGTCGTGGAGGGTGTAGATCCCAATGTAGTAACTTATAACACTTTGATGGGTATTTATATTGAACAAGGACGGGAAGCTGAGGCTCTCAATTTGTTTGAAGAGATACGGAAAAAGGGTCTGTCTCCCTCTCCTGCATCTTATTCTACAGCATTGTTGGCTTATCGAAGATTGGAAGATGGATTTGGAGCTCTGAAGTTCTATGGTGAGACAATAGAGAAGTATCAAAAAGGCGAGATAGGGAAATGTCCAGATGAAGATTGGGAAAATGAATTTGCCAAACTTGAGAATTTCACAATTCGAATTTGCTACCAGGTGATGCGACGGTGGCTAGTGAAGAGTGAGCCCCTAAGTGCCAATGTTTTGAAACTTCTAGCTGACATGGACAGGTCTGCGCTTCAAATTGGTCATGCAGAATGTGAGCGCCTTGTGTGGGCTTGTACGAGAGAAGAACACTATATTGTGGCAAAAAAATTATATAATAGGATAAGAGAAAGGGATTCTGAAATAAGCTTATCTGTCTGCAACCATGTGATTTGGTTGATGGGAAAGGCTAAGAAGTGGTGGGCAGCTCTGGAAATCTACGAGGATTTGTTGGACAAAGGGCCAAAACCAAATAACATGTCATACGAACTGATCGTTTCTCATTTTAACATTCTGCTCACTGCAGCCAGAAAAAGAGGAATTTGGAGATGGGGTGTTAGGTTGCTCAACAAGATGGAAGAGAAGGGTCTAAAACCGGGAAGCAGGGAATGGAATGCAGTTCTTGTTGCCTGCTCTAAAGCTGCAGAAACTTCTGCTGCTGTGCAGATATTTAGAAGAATGGTGGAACAAGGTGAAAAACCCACAATTGTCTCATATGGGGCACTGCTCAGTGCTCTTGAGAAAGGGAAACTCTACGATGAGGCCCTCCATGTGTGGAAACATATGATTAAGGTGGGTGTTGAGCCAAACTTGTATGCCTACACGATTATGGCTTCGATTTATGCTGGGCAGGGAAAATTCAACATTGTTGATTCCATCATCCAGGAAATGATCTCGAGCAGGGTTGAACCAACTGTTGTCACATTTAATGCAATTATCAGTGGATGTGCACGGAATAATATGGGAAGTGCAGCATACGAATGGTTTCAACGAATGAAATTTCTAAACATCTCACCCAATGATGTCACTTATGAAATGCTGATTGAGGCTCTAGCAAATGATGATAAACCACGGCTTGCCTATGATATGTATTTGAGAGCCCGCATTGAGGGCCTAAATCTTTCTTCAAAGGCATATGATGCTGTCATCCGATCCTCACAGGTCTGTGGTGCCACTATTGATGTGAGCGCCTTGGGCCCTCGGCCACCAGAGAAAAAGAAAAAATTGCAGATAAGAAAGGATTTGTCTGAGTTTTGTAATTTAGCTGATGTTCCTAGGAGAAGCAAACCATTTGACAGGAAAGAAATTCATTCCTCTCAAACAGAATGAAGTCTGTACCTCATGACATGTATCATACTGTATACTCTCCGTAAATCTGTATATTGTTACTTTGGGGACTCAGATTGAATTCTTATTCAATGCAGCTCCTAATTGGAGTTGCTTGCTGCTTAAAAGACAGATGACTTTTCTTGTATGTACAATTCTAGGCAACAACAGATCTTCAATACTTGTTGAAGGCAAAGTAAGAAGAAGAAAATGGTAGAAAGTCATTTGCAGCTGATATGGGTGATGGTCTGATGGGATTCAACTATACTGAATTGGCTGATAAGATCATTAGGCTAAGAATTATTCTTCCTAAATGACTATTGCTCTTTTGAGTTTGCAGGCTTGAGCATGGATAGGATCTTGTGATTTTGGTCCTGTCCCTTCATTTTTAGGTCAAAAAACCCGGTGGCCATCGTGCTTAAAGCCTATGAACAAAGACGAATGGTGAATGAGAAAGCTTCTTGTAAATGTCTGAGTAATCAGATTCAACATGAATTAGCCATATTATTAGTTTGGCGGAGGGGGAATAGTCCTTGACAGATTTGACGGATATGTAGACCAATTTGCTTATGTAAGATTCTCACATGTGAAATAAACCTATCTTATTTTATGTATGATTCTCACTTGTGATTTTGAAGTAGTATTGAAGTTGCTTTAAGTCAAAGAAATTCAGATTTAGACGTATCTGAACTTGATGAAGAAAAAACATATGCTTATAAATACATCTTTTTCTCATTTTCGCTGTCATGATTTGACCACAGAAAGAGAAAATAATATAGAAATAGTCGTGACGAAGAATGCTAGCATTTTTAGATCATGGTAGTTTCATACATGAATCAAGACACACCTAGGTACTGTTTTCCAATACAAGCATCATGGACGACAAAAGTCTCCTCTCTCTCTTCTCCCTAACTGAATTAGATGGGTCAGGTTAATTGATTGTGCAATTAATTTGCTTTTCAGTATGATATCGAAATTATAAAAAAAAAAAAAAAAATTTAAAATTGAAGTTACAATTTAATTTTTTAAGTTTATTATAAATTAGTATTGTTTGAAATCGATTTCTGACACTTTATGATCGTTCCTTGAAATTTTCTCTCTTGGGTTGGTAGGAGATGTTAATTAATATTAAAATTCATTGTCTATTTCTCCATCAGACCAAATATGTTAATGATCTTTTAGCGAAAGTTCAGAAGACTGATTGCAAACCTTGCAAAACTCTTTGTAATTCTTCCTCCAAACTTTTTAAAATAAATGGCACTCTTCTATTTGATCCCACTCCCTATAGAAGCTTAGTAGGTGCTTTACAATATCTAATTTTCACCAGATCAGATTTATCTTTTGTTGTTAATCAAGTCTGTCAATGTATGCATGCTCCAACAAATGTTCACTTCTCAGCTGTCAAACGTATTCTCAGATATCTCAAAGGCAATCCCTTCCTTGGCTTGGCTTGGTTTGGCTTATCACCCCAGTTCTTTACAACTGTCAGCCTATAAAATAAAAATCACAAATTAGGCAGGAGATCCACTTGACAGAAAATCCACTTTTGAATTATTTCTGTTTCTGGGTGGGTGATAGTCCTATTCACTAGGGTGCCAAGAAATAGCATACAGTGGCCAAGTCTTCTACTGAATCTGAATACAGGGCACTTGCTTCTACAGCTGCAAAGCTCAGCTGGCTGGTTTTGTATATTACTCAAGAATCTTCGTGTGTACATCTCTGAAGTTTCAACTCTATGGTGTGATAATATGTTAGCCCTTTCCTTAGCTTCAAACCCACTATTTCATGCTTGAACAAATTGTTGATGTCTTTACCAAAGGACTATTCTCTTCTAAGTTTCTGTTTTCTCGGACAAGCTCATGTTTGGTCCTCCACCCATGAGCTTGAGGGGGGGCTAGTAACACAACTGCAGAGTCCTCACAGCTGCAGAGTCTCCACAACAACAGCATAAAGATTCAATCACAGAATCAAGAAAATTACCCATACAACATAACAAATCATTGCTCAAGACAATGCAAGAATAATCGACTCAGTCCAGTTGCTGAGTCAGCATTAGGTGTCAGAGTTTGTTAGCATTAACAACTTTGTAACTAATTCAATAGGTAACTGTTAATTAATGGTCTGTTTTGTAAGAAGGATGAAAAATTAAAATTTTCATTGAGGAAAAAAAGATATTTTCCTTCCTTATTATTCGGTAAGAATGATATAAAGTTAGAAAAAAGGAATTTTTTATTGTTTTGTTTGATATAAGAATAAAAATGAATAAAAAATTCATCAATTAATTACCATAATTACCCTCATTTATATAGACTTTTTTGCTGTTAACTCTTCAAGCATCATAAACGTGGATTCCACCATTTTGCTCTACTTTTATATATAAAATTAAAAAATAAGTACCCCACAATTTTTCCATTCAAAACAACCTACCACCTAGAGAGTGAAATAGTAAATTCAAGAACTTTTGTACAATATTGTTCAATTTTTCACCCTTTTTTCGCCCATCTTCGGAATGATTAAAAATGATTGGCGGGTGAAATGTATTTTTCCTCCCTTTTTCCTTTTCCTTTCCTCTCCGGTTTCCACTCAATTTTTCACCAAATCAAACCAAACAACCCACAAGTTTTGTTTATAAATAGAGATAATGCATCAGAACAATCAATAAGAAAGAAATATTCCTTTCATCGGAAATCTTCAACTGTCTCTCTCAAAGGTATGATACCATGTGCATAAAATAAAATAAAAATAAAAATAAACAATAATTATACTCCCGTGTATCACACGGGACAGATTGCTAGTAAACGAATACTCGCAGGCTGGACGGTACGCTTGAGTAGGCTTGAAAAATACCGTTCCCATCCACCTTCTTGTCAGGACAAGTGTAAGCTTCCTGTTGGGTGCACGTGTCTATTACTTACCAGCTGGGCGAGTATAAGCCTTCAATATTCAGACACGGAACATGGAAGTTTCAGATAATTATAGTATGTAACCTTAATTTAGCACTTTCATTCGATTTGGTCAACTACTTATCGTTAAACAAATAGTCTCAATCAGGCAAAACGACTGTATTCATGTAACATTAACCCCAAATCATGGCGGAGCCACATGGGGATTAGGGTCAACGCTTCCCCCTCTTCATTTTTGGTCCATGTTTTTTATGAGTACTAATAAAATTATTTAATTGCACTAAATTTATCATTTAAATTTTTGAAATTTCAATAATAATTCTAATTTTTTTTTAATAAAGTAGTGGTTCACTAACCTCTAAAATAAATGTTTTATTTTTGGATTGATAAATAATTTTTAATTTTTATTTGCTATTTTTTTAGTAATATTAATTTATAAACCAATAAAATATGATTGTATACAAAAGAAAAATAATTGTACTAAAAAATTATTTTATATTTTTTTGTTTAAATTTTATATTAATTAAATAAAAACTAAATTTATTATTTCACAATAATTTTATCTTCAATCTTAATTTTTTTTTATAATGAATTACTTTTAGACATATCATTCCTAGCTCCGCCATGCCCCAAATTAAATACTTTTTTTTCTGTGTTCTTGTCATCTATTTTTACAGGGTGGAACTGTGGAAGTTGAGTGGGACAAGACAATTCAGCAGCTTTGCTTTTTAGTTTACGCCAACAAAAAATTATATTTTGCCCTTTTTAATTAGGAACTCAATTTTATTTTGTCCTTTAAATTATTAAAATTTTTAACATGAAAAATGAAGTAACTTTTTAATAAAATTTGTAACGAAAGTTAATAATTGAGACGGTGAAAAATTAATGGAGGATACAATATAAAAAATATGATAATTTGGGGTATAATATTAAAAAAATCATAATTAATGGGGTCAAAAGTGTAATTTAAGATTATCATCGGACCAAGAAGTATATTTTCTTTCTAAAAGGACAGGACTGGCTGAAGGTTCCTTCCTTCTAAACCTCGTTTGAGATAACTGCTGTGTCCTGAAACTCCATCTCTAATCTTAGATCCCAGCGGTTATTTAACTGTTTTGTGATAAATCCGCAGTGGATTTAAGTTTTTTCAATTTTATTCATGCTTTTGCTGTCAAATTCCAAAGTTTAAATAGAAACTGAGTATTTGCTGGTAAAAGGCTCCATCTCTGGTTACAAAGAAAAACCCAAAAAAGAGAGGAAAGAGAAAGGCCACTGGTGGAGTTTTGTGGTTATCCGGGTATCGGATACCAGAAAAGGAGTTTAGTGAGAGAAAGTACAGATTTTGTGGAAGTTATCGGGTGAGAAAAATTGCAGAGGTTGGGTGTTCCTGAGATGGGTTTGGAGTGATTGTGGTGAGATCTGGAGTGACTGTGGTGAAGAGTGAAGATAACCATGGAGCCTCCAAGTGGGGTTTTCGCTTCTCTTTTGGACTTCATCCGTTTCTTGCCTTACTTCGTTGGGCTTCTCATTCTTGGTTTTATTAAAGGTCAGCATCAATTTGTTCCTGTTCCTGTTTCTGTTGCTATTTGCTTCTTTCCCTTTTCTGGTTTTGCAACCTTTTTAATCCTCAAACTGGGGTACATACCCTCAGTTACATGTTATTGTTATTTCTTGCTGTGGGAAAATTGGGATGATGGTCTGTGTGTTTCTTTTTTGTAAAATTTTACTTGCTTTCACATCTTTGTGGGTTTTATGTGTTTGGGGGGGAAATTTTTATGTTGTTAGAAATAAATCTCTCTCTCTCTCTCTCTCTCTCTCTCAGGCTAACTATTCTGCTTGGTCAAAATGAAAACTGGGGTTATTGGGATTGTCTTCCTTTTTTTTTTTGCTATTCAACCAGAGTACAAAAAATGTACCAAAGAAAGCGGAGCCAGAAAAGAAAACCACCAAAATCTGGGTAACAAGAAGATCCCTAAGTCTTTGGATGAGGTTTTATATATGCCTCCAGAACAAAGTCATCAAGAAATCGATCAGGAGATCTATAACCTTTCAGCCGAAAGAAAAGGCAATGTCTTCCTTTTAGTTGTATGCCATTTGAGCTTGTTTCTGGTATACTTTTGCCCTATTCTGGGTTGGGAAAATTGGTTTCTATGTTGCAGAAGAACTAATTATGCATTACAATCTGTGGTGTGCTACCAAATGGTAAAACGTTAACGAGGTTGGTTAACAAGGTTGCTTAATTTCTTTGTTCTAAGGGAATGAGGTGTGCACTTAAGAGTAATAGTAATGATTAATATGTATTAGGTTTGTGAATCTATTGTTGTTGGAAGCATTGAAGTGTGAATCACTTCAGAATTTCACTTGAGTGATCAGTCTAGCTCTAAGTGACTGTGACAATTTTTCGCCACTCTTTTATCTCAGGTATCATTTTGTGCCCGGTGTCATGCCTCATTATGACAATTGGAAATTTAGCAATAATATTGGGTCTTTGGCCAGCACACTGTTTCTGGACATATTATTGCATTTTGAGGTGCATTCTGTGACCTTTTACTTTTTGATCTCCTTGCTTTGCATTATCTTGTCTACATTGGAGTAATTGCCTTCTCATTTCCCGATTGGCAGTGCTAAACAGTTTGGGCCAGTTTTGAAGCTTGTACTGTGTGGATGCGTTCCTGTCCTTTTGATTTTGTGGCCATTGGTTGTCATTGGCTGTATTGTTGGCGGTGCAGCATATGGCCTGCTCGCACCAATGTTTGCCACATTTCAAGCCGTTGGTGAAGGGAAGACAGATAAATTTTACCATTGTATCATTGTATGTTTAGATACCTTAAGTTTGCAGTACAAAGTTTGAACATATCTTATATTGTCTTTCTTTTTTGTTGCCTTTGTAAGAGAGATTGTCCTTTGACCACACTTGCAGGATGGAACTTTGGACACGGTCAAAGGGGCTTGTATTGTTGTCAGGGATTCTTGGGATGTATGTTTCCATTCCTACTTCTCAGTTATGAAGGATGTTCGGCAACAAGGGCCTTCAGAGGGAAAATATTATGAGATCAGGTTCATTTTTTTGGGTCTGATTTTGGTACTGTTTTGTTTTGTGCAGTAAATCCTGAAGCTGAACTTTAATTGTTGTATGTGAATTGTGTTTAGGCAAGTAGGTAACTTTGGCCATAATATACCCACAGACCTGCATTGTGAACAATTATACTATCATTCTCCCTAAAGAATACTTTCGTAAATGTTTTTTGATTTCCCTGTTGAAACATCATCCTCACTACATGCCATTTCATTTCCTAGTTTAGAGTCTCTCGGATGTTTGTCCATACAAGTCTTCTCTTAAATTTTTTATAATTTATCCTCTTGTCATGACTAAAGCTAGTTCGATAAGAAAATTTCATGTTGCCATCACCTTTCGTGCTGCTGCAAACCACCTCCATTTCCACTACCGCCAAAGCACTCGGGCAACTGCCTTCAGCCATCATGTGTAGTGTGCCTGCCAGTTGACCACTGCAATGAATCATATATTGTGGCTTTCTAATCTTCCAACTATAATCAAAGTGGAAGTCTGAAACCCTGTTTCCTCATGCGTACATGCGGTATAAAATTTTTGTGTCCTTAACTACATACTTCTCTTGGTCACTGAAAGCTAAAGCTTGAAATGTGCACGGCAAGAAGATATCTAACCCATGAAGTACTTAAATTTAGGGGTGTCAATTGTGTTGGGTTAAGCGAGTTTATGATGGGTCTAATTGGGTTCGTGTGAAAAACTATTCAACCTGTATACGATTCATTTAATTCGTTTAATTAAACGGGTTAAAATCTACAAATCGAACATGATTCGTTTATTAAACGGGTTATAAGATACGATTCGTTTGACCCGTTTAATAAACTCTTTCTATTATTATAATAAAAAACTATTTATTAAACTTTTTTTTAATTGATCTAATAATTAAACTGCATATATCATTCTGACTAAAAGAATTTGAATAATTATTAATTTCTAAGAAGTATGGCCACGGATACGCCGACACGACATTTCTCAAAACTTTTATACATATTTTTTTTTTTTTATTATATTTGGAAAGTATAATTTTAATATATCTAGTGTTAGTAATTATATGTTTTCAATGTTAATTACATTTCAATACATATTTTTTGTGTAGTAGTAGACATATTCTAAAGAAGTGTCGGATTCGTTACCAAAAGAGTGTTGGACACGTGTCTGAAATTAAAATTTTACACGAATAAAAGAGTATCGAACATGTGTCCAAAAGTATCCAAAGAGTGTCGGTGTTTGACATGGATACGTCACATTCTCAAGAGTGTCCATTCTTCATAGTTATTATATTAATTTTATTTAAACTGGTGATAAATAGGTTGACACATCTCACCTGAACACTACCAGTTTATTAAACGGGTCTAGTGAAACCACCTGTTTACCGCTCCATACCCGTTAATACTTCACCCAAACAATTAACCAACACAGAGTTAATTGTGTCGTGTCGCATTTTGACAGGTCTATTTAAATTCTAACTTTATCAATTCCTTTGGTGGATCTTTTGAAACAATTTTTTTTTCTATCCCATGGCAAGTGATGTTTTGAAACAATTTTTTGTGTCAGAAATTCAGAAAATAAATCAATTGTCTTGGATTGTTGGTAAAATTGTTATTTTAGCACCATAATGGTCCAGGAACACGTAATCCCCCTCCCTTTTTTGGTTCAATTGGAAAACCGTAAGTACTATGATTTTACTACTAGAGAACTCCTATAGGCTTATCGACCTTTTAGTGTACTCAGCTGAGCATATGATTCAGAATTCTGCTGTGATTTTTGTTGCAATATTCATAATATCAAAAAAGGAACCTAATGATGGGCATCGACAATTCAGAAGTTTGAAGCCCATCTTGGACTATTTTCTTCTCTCGTACTACAGTAGGTTTGATAGGTGTTTGTTCCTTTCAGAAATGTGAAATCTTTTCACTAATGTCCTTGCAGATTGCTCTATCTTCCTGGAGCTATTACAGCTGGGGTCTTAGGTTTCTTGGTTGACATGCCAATGTTCTCTTTTATTGCCCTATGTAAATGCCCTTACATGCTGTTTAAGGGGTGGCACCGTCTGTTTCATGACTGTATAGGTCGGGAAGGGCCTTTCTTGGAGACAATATGTGTACCATTTGCAGGCCTTGCTATCTTATTGTGGCCATTGGCTGTTGTTGGCGCAGTCTTAGGCTCCATGGTGTCAAGTATCTTTTTGGGAGCTTATGCCGCTGTAGTTGTTTATCAGGTTAAAATTGCCTTTTCTTCCTTAATATTTATGATTCAGTGCCATTTCTAACACTTTTCAAAAGACTCATAATGATTCAAATCTGTCATTTTGTACTTTTCCTTTATCCTATTTTTGTGAGGTAATTTGGATCCCTACTCGCTTATGATTTATTTAGAAAGGAAGTTTTGGCTTAAGCTTGGAGTCAATGGTAACCATGTAACACCTTGGATTATTTCCAAGGCTGAGAACCATGTCGATATCCTTGTTACATAAATAGTAAACCAATATTTAACTGTTATATTTGACGTTGACTACAGGAATCCTCTTTCTGGTTGGGGCTTTGCTACATCATTGCTTCCTTGTCCATATTCGATGAATACAGCAATGATGTTCTTGACATGCCAGAAGGGACCTGCTTTCCTAGGTTTCATTCACCACTATAGTTTTACTCTTTTTATCTGGGGTTTCTGCTTTGATATGCTACAACTTTTGGCAAATTTTAATGAATTTGCGATATCAAAACAGGCCTCAATACCGAAAGAAGGCTTCAGCAGCGCTAACCAGCTCTCGTACCACTTCTTTCTCAAGGGCCGACTCTTCTCGAAATTTGTCCACTCGCACAGTTTCATTTAGGAATAAGATGGTTGAGTTGTGGCCACTTGAGGTGTGTTGTTTGTATTACATTTGACATCCTGAAGGATTGCATTATCCGGTTCTGAAATTCTGTTTGGTGATATTTGGACAAATTCCTGTTTTACTGCTAATTTAATCTCGCTACATGGCCCTTGTAGTTACTTGATAGCTTATTAAAGGAATGTCAACGCCATGGGGAAATAATGGTTTCTCAAGGGCTGATTACCCTTAAAGACTTGGAAGATGCCATGTCTAGTAAAGATAGCGGCAGAGTTGTAAGCATTGGTTTACCAGCTTATTGCCTCTTCCTGGCACTTCTGCGTTCTGCAAAAGCCAACTCTACTGGATTTTTGCTAAGTAAGTGGAAGAAAATATTTTCCTATGAGCATTTGTCGTCCCTCCCAACAGTTGGACCACATGCAAACGAAATGATTACGGGAACATGTTTCTCGTGATGCAGGTGACAATTTCACTGAGATAACTAGCGCAAACAGAGCCAAAGATACCTTCTTCGATTGGTTTTTCAATCCACTTTTAATAATTAAAGACCAGATCAAAGCTCAAAACCTCTCTGAGACTGAAGAGGAGTACCTCGGTAAATTAGTTCTGTTACGTGGTGATCCTGAGAGGTTGAAAAACTCAAATATTGGTTCACCACCTGAATCTGAGCTGAAAAGAGCTGAACTTGATGCATTAGCTCGAAGGTAACCCTTTTAAATTTTGTCAATTCATGTAATTATTTTACTATTTTCCTTGTGGTTCTCATTCTTGATTTCCCCTATTCTTCTACTTTTTTTTTTTTCACAAAGACTTCAAGGGATCACCAAATCTATATCCAGATATCCTACATATAGGCGTCGTATTGCTACTAGCATCAAGACCATATCATCAGAACTTGCCAAGAGAGATAGTAGCAGCAAATTTATCCATGAACCTCAAGCAGTTCCCCGGTCAAAAAGTACTTTTACCCATTTATTTAGCCAGACATCATTTAGAAGCAGAACAAACAACAATGAGTCTGATCCAGAGGCTCAGGCAGTTGGTGAAAGAGATGTTTCTATTGAATAATGAGATTCACTTGTCACCCACATCTAGTTATTAGTTTTGCAAGGTAATTGCTATTTTTTAGATATTTTTTCATGCAACAGAAGTTTGGCCTGATTGTATTTAGATTTGGTTCTTGCCATTATGTTTGGTTCTTTCTTGCTATTTTGATTGGTTTGTAGAGGCCTCCACGTATTTCTCTCCTTTTTGGATATGTAATTTGAACCCGGAATTCAGCTTAAACGAATTTATAATTGCCCAGTTTGTAAGCATGGACATCACATGCGAGTCTCAGTTTTCTTTTTGCAGGATGAAGGAGAGGATAGAATTCTTGAGTAGTTGCACTTTAAGAGAGACATTTGCTCTGTTCTGTTCTGTTTTATGCCCTGTTTGGTTTAAATGAAAGTTGGGTGGATGGAAAATGGTGGAAAGAAAGTTGGGTGGATGGAAAAAATTTTTCCTGTTTGGTATCAAAGCAAAGTATGAGGGGAAAGGAAAAGTGAAGAGAAAGCATTTCGCTCTAGCCTGTAAATTTTTTTTCTCCCCAAAAGTGGGTGGAAAGTGGGAAGGAAAAGTGGGACAATCTATTTTTTAAAATAAATATATTTTTTTGCCCTTCAATATATTTTATTATATATATTGTATCGATACACAATTCACTATTTAAGGATAAAATTGTAAATTGGGAATGCATATTTTTCCTTTCTTTTCATTTTTCATCCAACACCAAAAGATGAAAAATATCTCTTCTACTTTTAATCTCTTTTACCAAACAAAAATGAGGAAAAATATTTTTTTTTTTATTTCAAGGATGAAAAATTTAGAACTTTCACTTTTCTTTCCTTTTTTCTTTCCTTCGTTCGTACCAAACGAACCATTATTCTTTTGTATAGATGAACGTTAAGGGACCATAGATTTGAAAAAACAATAATGAAATGTGAATTACTTTTATATACCACCTTGTCTACACTGCCTGATGTGTTATAATCTCAACCTTTAAATACATTACAAGGAAAGCAACTTACAATGTAGAATTTAATGCACAATAATTAGTCTCCAATTAGATTACCGTTGAGGGAAAACAACAAACATTGACGCACTTTGGGGTGTGTTATTCACGAACCGAAAACGCCCTTAGAGCTGAAAAACCTTCCAAACTCCTCCTCCTACTCCACATCTTCATGCCATATAGGGAAGGGACTGCCTGTCTATTCTTTCTTCCTAGATTCTTTGAGTAGTCCCCTCTCTCGAACCCGAAGGCAGAATCGCAGGCGCCAAGCATCAAAAATAGATTCAGGCAATGAAGATACAAAACCACACTGAAGAGAATGGGGCCAGTAAGGTGTGCAGCGAGGTTCATAGCCTATCCAGCGCATCGCAGCCTGAGCATAACCGTCTATTGATGGAGCAAAGAAGGAGGACCTTTTGATTGATGACATCCTCGTCGCCACATACAGTGGGATCTAAAGTAAAAGAGAAGCTCTTAGAATTGAAATCACGATGGAGCTTGCATAATTCTTTTAAGTTCTTTGTTTTCCATAAAAAAAGAAATTACCACATATTACAAAAACCAAAGCAAAGTGCAATGAGAGAGTTCTAGCAAAAGTCACAGAATCAAAAAGACAGTTTTAGATGTCACGGCCAAGCATCAATGAGCACAAATTGATCTGATCCTTCGAGGGTGTTCTGTATGTCCATTAAGACGATCTTTTCAGGAAGTTTTGCATGTCCATTTAGCTGTAGCCTGTAACCCGCTTAAAGGGCATGTATGTCAAAACATTTTATTTTCTTGAGGATGCAAGACAGAAGAGGCCAAAAACCATCTAATTTCCACCACCTATATAGAGCTATTAGAAGTGAACATTTACAAGTGAACATTCAGCCCCTACTGAAAGTAATCCTAAAAAAACATTTGTCAATGCTAGAATCTAATACCATTTGCTCTATTTAATTAGATATTAGAACAGTACAACATATTCGTGAGCCATGCAGAAAAAATTCCACTACTTATACAATTACTAAACCTTTTAGGTTTGAATTAAGATCAACCATCTGCAACAAAAGAAAAAACCGTCCAAATCACATCAAATTACACCAAACCAAAAGCATGGAGGATATCGATACAACAACTGAATTAAATGGCAATCTATCCAATCATATCATAGTTACAAGCTATGATGACTCTGGATACAGAGGATGAACAAAACAGAGTTCCTATAATGGCAACAAAATACTGTATAAACTTACATGTACTGAGAAGCTTACTAGATGATGTAAAATAAGGCATACCTGACACTGCACATCAATACCACTCTTCTTGTACTCCACATAGAGGCATCTTGAGAACTGGTCAATATATCTGAAAGTAAACCCACTAATGTCATTCAATGTTTTATACAATTACGAAAACCAATTTTTATGGTAATGCATATCGTGAAAAAGTTTCCACAAGCACAACAAACTTAACAACAATCCTCCAGTATAACAAAGAAAATCGGAGGACAAAAAATACAAGAAAAAAGAAAATGAAGCGATTATTGTTAATTAAGAGTAAGACAATGACAAGAGTTCGAAATTCACCAATTGCAATGTTCTGTTTAGAAGAATCATGTTTGTAAACCCACGTTATAATTTATAAGTTGACCAGTTTGGTTAGATACTGCAGGGAAAGATATTGTCAGAAAAAGCTACAAGGTGGGTTCAATTATGTGTCGCACTAGTTGAATTGACTTCTATGTTTTCTTAAGACTTAAAAGTTTTAAAGTCTTTTGGTTTGTCTTCATTAATACTCAGTCCAGACTTACAATTGAAAAGAAGAGAGTCCACCTTATAAACTGGGGGTATGCAAACCAAAGAAGAAAGGAGGATTATGATTAAGGAAAAGCAGAAAAAATAACCTGGCGTTGTTATCAAACTAGGGTGGAAAGTGAAAACTAATCAGAAAGCCTTTTGGGTAGATGCAATCAAAAGTAAATACACAAAGGAGAACCTAAGGATCTAGGAACAAAAATCTAATGCCCCCTCCAATTTGGAGAGCAATCTTAAAACTCGGGATATCTTAGATAAAGGCACGAATGTTTAATAAGAAATGGAGAAAACATTGCTTTTTGGACAGAATGGTAGATGGGGGATGGACCACTGCTGCACAGAGTTCCAGGGCCAGCCCCAACAGTATGGAAAAAAAAGCATGAACTTTAGACCCCAAATTTTTAGAAGGCCTCATAATTTTAGGTACATCACTAATCCACAAAAACAAAATTAAATCAATTAAATTTTAAGCCTACAAAAAAACCCCAAAAAATTAAATCCAATCAAATTTTTATTGCAATATTTTGGACCTATAATCCAATCCATCACATTAAAAACTTAGAAATTAAAAAAATAAAAAAAAATAATCAAAAATCAACTCATATTTACCCTCTCTCTCTCTCTCTCTGTGGTAAAAAAAAATAAAAAACCAAAACAAAAGTTGAAATTAAACGCTCTCTCTCCCTCTCTGTGGTAAAAAAACAAAAATTAAAATTTCTTTTTCGACGATATTAACACATCCTTCTTTTGTTTGCCTCTCACTTAGAAAATTAAAAATAAATTAATTTCTTTTTAAAAAAATAATACTAAATATAAAAAAGCCTCCATTTAATGTTTTCGCTTTAGGCCTCAAATTAGCTTAAGCTGCCCCAGCAGAGTTCAAGTTCTTCAACCTGCCAAATTGGAGACCATGGTAACTAGAGATTGCAGGAAGCAGGTATGTTCTTAACTCAACATATCCTAGATGACATGAATTTTACCTCACTGCCTGCGGCCTTAGTTCACCAGGATACACCATGTTACGGCTCTGAAAGCAATGGGGTATTTACATCAAAGTCTGCATATGAACTTTTAATTAAGGAGGATGCCTCAGATTATCCAAACCTGAACTGGGAATGGATATGGAAGGTCAAAACTCCATAAAAAAATGAAATACTTCTTGTGGCTTGTACTGAATGACAGAATGTTATCAACCACCAGAGAGCCGCAAGAAGTTTGACTATGAATGAATCATGCACTAGGTGTAATGCTTCATCAGAGACATCTTTACATTTCCTTAGGGAATGTCCCAAGGCTCAGAAAGTTTGGTGTGCCTTTCTGGAGGAACAAGAGAGACAGGCAGACCAGATTATGAAATGGATCCAAAGGAATGTGGGGGATAGAAAGAAACTGAAATGGAGAAACATAGAATGGCCCCTGAATGCTCGAAGCTAATATTTGCTAGAGATATCATGAATGCTTTCCAGTTTGAAGGCGCATCTAAGGTTAGGAAAGAAATCAGACTAATTGGGTGGATTTTTTCCTATGCTGGCTGCCTCAAGTTTTATACCGATCAAGGCCTCTAGATAGTAGGCTTCTGTGGAAAACTCAACAGGATGATAAGTGTTGGTACATTTTAATATTATATATAATTTATTGAACTAATGGATAATATTATATATAATTCATTGTACTAATGTATAATATACATACACTAGTCATAACCCGTGCCTGAAGGCACGATAAAATATAAAATTCAAGCGTTTAAAAAATCGATTCCACCATATTAAATTTTTTCAAAATACATTAACTACAAATTAATAAAATTTTAAATAATTAAATATATGATAGAAATGAGTGATGTGATTTTTAAGAAGGAAATATATAATTGATTAAATATATGATAGAAATGAGTGATATAATTTCACGTTTGGGTCTGACAAAAGAATGATGAGTGAGATAAGTAATTGGTAATGGTTTTGAGGGGAAAAATATGACTTGGATAAAGTTCAAATACACTTCTGTTTTATTATATAGATAAATCTTTATATATAATATATTATATATATCCATGTATCATATTATTATATACATGTACATGAATATTATCTTAACACATGTATTTGTCATTTTTAATACAAGAATCATATTTATTACATACATGTATAAGTTATATACATATATACATGAATGAGTTGTATACATGAACTCTATAAATTCTTAAGAATCTATATAATAAAACACATAGCAACTTAAATTTTTATTCCCTACATATTTTCCCCTTAAAAATATTACATCACTCATTTCTATCACATGTTTAATCATTTATATATTTTTCTCTTAAAAACATCATATCATTCATTTATATCATATATTTAATCATTTAATATTTGATTAATTTATAGTTAATCATTTAATATTTGATTAATTTGTATATACATGTTAAAAAAATTAAATATAGTGGGATCGATTTTTTGGGCACTCGAATTTTATATTTTATGGTTATAACTAGTCTATAAATAAGACCTCTAAGTAGGGCAGCACTTTATAACATACTACATAGTTTATGCCAAAAAGAAAAAAAAGGGTGTTTTCTATGGTGGAGCTTTGGACCAAACTACTAATGTAGAGTTTGATAGTGTCATATGTTGAATTGTTTTATTCTGGAGGGGGCAAGTCAAATGGTATACCTTACTGTATCGAATTTAGGTTTTGTCATCCAGACTTGAATCTCCTAAAAAAGAGACTTCCGTGCCTCAACCCGAATTGTTTTATATCAAATTTTATTATTTTTTATGTTATTTCTCAATTTATCCAATCACAACA